TAGGTTTTTTACGACAGCCCTTTTATGTTCGACAGAATGATGCGAGTTAAAGCTTAAGAGGTTGCCTGTATCACAGCTTTGCGGTACACTGTTGTATATAAGCGAGCGGTACTATTTCGGAACACATTAACATACAGAAAAGGCTTTGCACCGTTCTGTTCAACTTCATGTGTGAATTGGATTGATGATTCAATGCTGTTTAAAGCTAAATGAAAGTCACAAAAGGGACATGGCAAAGGCCACGCATGCGACAAGAGCGAAGACGGAACTCGTAGACCGGAATACGGGACACAGTTTCGACTTTGAGAATGCGTCCACTCTGGCGCGTGAACAAAGGTGGGGTCCAAGCAGGTTCGTAGAATCATGGTTCATCCGAAATGACTCATCAGCTTGTAACTCCAGCTGCGGCCCCCTCCTCAATGTGTATGTGGACTTGCTTAAATAGGACTGTTGAAGTTTCTTTCGCTCATTCCTGCTTCAAGGTTTCACCGACGATGTTTCCCACATGGGAGACGAAACGTTTGATTAAATTGTTAATCTTGTTGAGTAAAGTGGGTGCAGTTTTTTTTATCATTATGATTTCCGGCTTTTGGAATATTTTTGCAGCACATTTAATGAAGAAATGGATGCCGATAAACACCTGCCAAGGTTGACTAAAAATAAATAGAAACATCCAATCAATAGTTATGATTGCACTAAGCGGTTGCTATGTGGATGTTTTTTTATGTTCGACAGCTGGGCAAAGTCTGCGGATCTGGTTATGCTTCCTGTACGAGACAGATCACGAAGCGGTTGCTGACTGACCAGTTGGGGCGAAAATTTTTGTGGGAAGGACGTAAGGGAAAGTTGACATTCAGGAACCTTCACCTTGCTGAGTGCATCATAAGTAAGTAATCTCTGGAACAATAGTGCAGATCGCTTCACATGGAACCAGATTTATGGAATTGTTGGTGTCATACTTCTGTTGCTTTCTTTTATCAGATGCAGTGCAGAGCTGTCATAAATGTGAAGACTTCAAGGTAGAAACCATGGTCACGGATTAACTTCGCCACGCACCTGCCTGACATCAGTCATCTCAAATGGTAAGCTGGTCTTATTAAGCTGATGTTAGCACAAAAATCAAACTTTTCTAGAACAGTAAGTATGGTGTGCAATTTCTTCAAAGCACAATTTCTATATGAGAGTATTTGAATGCTTTAAATATTAAAGCCAGTGACACCTTTTTTGGTTTAATTTGAGAGCAAATACTACAGGTGTGAACAGTATTGAATAATTTTAAATTAAAAAAATTTTGTTTGGAGTGTTTATCTAAGAGGAAAAATTTCATTATGTAATAGTACCTTATTATGGATTAAAAAGAATGCATAGACAACGAATTTTAAGAACACTGATATTTGATGTAAATCTAACAAACAAAAGTTGGCAATACAGTACACACATCCAGCATGAATGTGCTTTAAAAACAACTTGTGATTTATTTACATCAGTTCCAATTCTTGCATATTTGAGTCACTTCACTTTGAACTTCTCTGTTTTATTAGTTTTGTTTCAAAGAATGGTAAACCACTGCTTACATATCTTTAACATAACATTTTTTCGTTGCTTTTCAGGAACATTCTGCACCACAGGAGAGAGAGATGTGAACTGCCTTAAGTGGGCCTTGAATGCGCTGAGCTTTTTATTATGTTTATCAGACATTTTTTAAGCAAAGTATCCTGCATTGTTCAGTAAGTATACTTTATTTTGAAAACCTCATGCAGCATTGCTCAAAAATTATACTTTATTTTAAAAGCATCAAGAACTGCTCGTCTGTCTAACAGTAACAATAAAGAGTTAATGGCGATTTGTTTGGCACTGCAACTTTTTCTACAGAACGGATGTGCATGCCTTACAGGCTGGGGAGGAATTTAGTGCGCTACTCACGTTCAAAGTTACGCTGCAAGACTGCAGCGGCATCTTTTGCCATGCAGTCGGTGCTACAGCTCTCATGGAATTCTGGTGTCCTCGTCACTAGAGCATATGACTACTGAAGCCTTAGACTTCAGTAGTCAATTCCTCAGGGCCGTTCGTCATAGCTTATGACAATGTTTGTGTCCAGTATTTCAGTTCTCTCGCATGTGGCGAGGTCCACCTCACTAAAACGAGTCAGCATCAGTAGTGTCGCCTTCCTTGTCAGTGTCGTCTGCATTGATCCTGTGGTAAAGCTTCTGAGCTTGATGGTGAAAAAAAAACTTCAATATAAAGAATGTCTGCTGCGGGCCTGATTGCTACATTATACATCTGTAATGCGCCATTTGGGTATACATTGAGAGCATGCACGGGCCATACAGCAAATCTGCCCTCTGAGCTCTTGTTTTGTAAAGAATTGGACTCTTATCCGTTTAAATTTTTCTGTAGGACAGTTTACACGCTATATGCTAGCATAAAATGAAGGCTGCTTAGGCACTTCCTTGCCCTCCTGGCATAGGGCTGGTCCCTATACCAGGAAAGGTAATATTTCTGAGGTATGTACATGGTACATCCACAGGATCAGGCTGAACATCCTACAATGGTCCTGAATGTCCAGCTGCATCAACCAGATTGCGTTAGTGGTACGTTTTCTGGGGAACCATTTTGCACTGCACAGTAGATACTTTCAATGTTGGATGAATCGTAGCAGATATCCACTGGATATGTTAAATGTCCGAACAACACATCTCTTGGATGTTTAATAGACGGTTGCTGGTTGACTGGGTACCATCAAACCAATGTGCACCGGGGCACCTGTTGTCAATTACCGCTCATTGGTTTTCGCCCCCTAAACGCCATCAACCCAATGTGCACAGGGGTGCCTGTCGTCAATTGCTGCTTATTGGTTTTCGCCCCATAAATACCATCAATCCAATGTGCACAGGGGGGCCTTTTGCCAATAGCCGCTCATTAGTTTTTGCCCCATAAATACCATCAACCCAATGTGCACAGGAGCACCTGTTGCCAATTGCTGCTCATTGGTTTTTGCCCCATAAATACCCTCAATGCAATGTGCACTGGGGTACCTGTTGCCAATTGCTGCTCATTGGTTTTTGTTTCATAAATGCAATCAGCCCAATGTGAATTCCCTAAAGGATTACCAATTCAGCCCAATGTGAATTCCCTAAAGGATTACCAATTGGTGCACATAGGTTTTTGTTTCATAAATGCATATTGCTCAATGTGTCTGGACCTACAGTTGCACATTGGTTCAATGTGAATTTTGGCCTCATTTCACATCGCCCATTTCCAGCAGGGTTAAAGGGACCATGAAATGACCTTTTTACTTTTTCCAGATAACTTTTACATTAAACCGTCAATGTTCACTGAATGCCGAACAGGCATCCGTTTTCGTCTCGGTTTATTAACTTTTACACAAAAAATTATTGAAATATCGACTTTTTCATTCTCTCCAACTGACCGCAAAAGAAGCCGTGACGTAGACCGTTTCCGGAACCGGAAGTTCTCTCGGCAGTAGGAGAATGGGAGTGTTAGCGGCAACGAGTTGGGGTGCGCCGGTAGGTTTTACTGCGCTGATGTCACCGACGTATTTTCTGAATCGGCGCCTCTCATCGCCGCATCGCAGCTGAGCGAAATTCAATGAGATATGTTGCGCTACAGCGACAGCATGGGACTAGTCCCATACGCCGGTATGCCTGTTGGGAAGTGCAGCGAGTCTTCCGGTGAAGACTCCAGAAGTCAACCACCCCGTCATTGTTGGCAGAAGGGCCGGCCCGTGTCAGTCGTTTGCAAAGCGACGTAGATGGCGTTTTTCGCGGCCTCGGAGATGCAGGAGCGGGCCGACGTTAAAAAAGATACGTTTGAACTACGAGTGTCAGCAAGAGCCACGTAAATACCTGTTTACACTCGGAGCGGACGCGCGCGCTTGATGGAAGTCTTGTATTCGCGCTGTTGGTAAGCGCTTCGGGACCGTTCTTTTACGATTGCAACTCGATACTGACGCGACACTCGGCAAAGAAAGGTTGGACCGGGGTTGTACGTATACCTCCCACGAACTGTTATAGCTCGACAGTGACGTGCAGTCTGTCAGAATAAAAATGGCATACCAATAACAAAGTGTACATACCGTGTTACGAAGGTAATCCATACGGCGTTTATTTCAGCTCTATATCACACAAAACAAGAAGATAGAATCGACGAGAGTCCCTTTTCGACGAGTGTTCGTCAACACTGCCTCGGAAAACAAGGGGAAGAGATTGACCTCCTCACCTCTTAATCTAGAATTGAGGTCAGTGATCAAACTATAATACGGGAAGGGTCCACAAGGGTCGCGCGGGCATATTCCATTTAGCACGCCAGCCAGTCGTAGGCAGACGGTCTTGCGACGAAGCAACGCAGCGCCGAGTCGGAATGCCTGCTAGGCCTATACGCTTCGTCGGAGTCGGTGAATCCAGCGTTCTTGTTCGTCGTGGTCTGTTTTAAGTACTGTTTTCTTGCTGCTTGAAGTCGGCACGCGCGGGAAGAACACGTAGAAAAATAAACGTTCAGTCAGTCAGAGTTTTGAGAGGAAGGAAAACAAAGAAAATAAATGTTCGTCGGTCGCCGTCGCGCGCAGTAGTTGCTTCGTTTACCACACGATAGATGGCGCTTGGCTCTCAGCATTATCAAATTTGGCAATTTTCGCCACACATCTCTAATTATGCTACAAAATGTGGATCTGAATATTATTTAACAAAACTTTTAGGAAGCATTCGCCGGCTATTTATTGTTTACGATCGCGGTGCTGGTGAGGTAGGCTCTTACCCAATAGGCGACCTGGATTTGACTGACGTGCTCCATTTCCGCGGATGCATCGTAGTGAACAGGCGAAGGAAGGAAGGCGCAAAAGAGTCCAGTTTTCTTTTAAAAGTTCTATAGCAAATAATTTTTTTTGGCTCCCTATTTTTGTGTTTTTGTGTTTCTTTTCACACCTTTTACGACGTACGGTGGATGAAACTCGATTTTAAAATCATTTCATGGTCCCTTTAATGATCAGATGTTCAGAAGACACAATTCTCACAAAAAATATTTTTATCAGACAATTTGTAACCTCACGTCGGGCCCCCTCGTCCATAACAACGACCCTAGCAACGGCTTGTTTGGAGCGGAGCGTCATGCTCTGCCGTGATAACTTACGGGGTCGATTGGTTTATAAGGGCCATGGGAGGAATCATGTTTTTGGTTTTGAGTTTCTAGGCTAGGTGGCGCAAGCTACCACCGGTTATGAAGGGTAATAGCCGTTAGCATCTATCCATCCATTCATACAGGTCGGCCGCATCCAGCAGTTCCTGGACGGCCGCCTCCAGCAGTTCCTGGACGGCCGCCTCCAGCAAGACCTCCCCCAACAGCCACAGGTGAGCGAGGCTCAGCTTAACTTCTTCGCGATGAGTCACTTTCATGGATTTTTCTTTAGTTCCATCAGGGTTGCTTGAATGCGTCTCTAACTGGTGGACTATGGTCATCGACAAATCAAGAAACGCGGAGTGTGAGAATCCAGAGAATTTCATTATCACTCTTCAGCCAATGAGATTTCAGCGTTAGCCGAAAAGGACGTCTGAGGACCAATCACGAAGAAGCATGAACACAATAGGCCGCGCCCTGCACTCCTCAAGCTCTCAGTGATTATAGATGTGTGCAAGCAGCCACGCTTCAAAAGCTCGTCTGGCCACCGTGGACGAAGCACGCGTTCTGGTGGTGGTGGCGTTGTGGGATATGGTGGTGATATTCCACACCGCCTGATGATAGCCACAAAAATGCAGAGGGGAAGCAAATTGGCTTAAAAGGGCGGAGGGAGGAATTATACTTTTGGTTTTGACTTTCTAGGCTTTGTGGCGCAAACTGCCACCCGTTATAAAGCGTACAGCCGTTAGCATTTATCCATCCATCCATTCATCCAGCTTGAGCGCAAGTCTGACAACCGTTGGGACGCCTCAGCAAGGCTCGTCTGTCGACAACCTACACGCGAGAGCACCAAGATGGCGGCGCCCAGAGGCCGTTCTTCCGAACGTCTATACACAGAGAATTCAAGTAGAGGAGAAGGTGCGAGCGTGTGGTGACGTCAGATGACCGAGCTCTGATTAGAAGAATTAGTGGGTAGAGGCAAAGGCTAGCTTCGGCGTTTGGCGTTTGAACGCCATACACTGCGCGTGGAGCAGAAGACACTCAGTGGCTGGCGTGAGACCTGCGAATTGCAGCAAATACAAAAAACAATAACTATGACATTTACTAACCGCGTTTTCATTCTACGTAAGGAATATACTATCATGAATTCAAAACTAGATAAAGTAACTTCATTAAAATATCTGGTATTTCATCTAACTACCAGTCTTTCCAGGTATGCTTACATAGAGTACATTCTTAACGAAGCTAAACAATCTTTAGGTTTTTTTCAAGAAGGGCCCTTCTACATGCCCCCCCCTTCCCCAACAGCAGAAACCAAACTATAGCATATACTACCCTGCTTCGATCTAAGTTGAAGTACGCATCTATAGTTTAGGACCCGCATCAAATGTATTTAATTGACGGGCTAGAATCTCTACAAAACATGGCACCTCAGTGCATACCAAAGTTTTATACAATTGTAAGCGTCACTCAACCTAAAACATCAACAGGATTATTAACGCTTCGGCAGAGAACATATCTTTCTAGGCTATCCCACGTCCATAAAATCTATGACACACCAACTGAATTTCGCGAAAATAACGTCACACCACCCACTCGTATCTTTCCTCGTCATGATCACCCAAACAAAGTCCATATTCCCTTTGACAAAACTTAATTGTATAAATTCTCTCCGCTACTACAGGCTACGGCCGACTGGAATGGGCTGTCAAACGAAATTGCTCTCACCAGAAACCACGACGCTGTTGTAGCACAGCGTGAATCATTGCCGGGACAAAGGATTTGCGTTTATTATTATTTTTTTTTTTCATCTTAAACATCCCTTCTACTTTTTGATGCGAAAACATTAACTGTCCCATGAAGCGAAGCCGGCGGTGTCCGCAAACGTCTGTAGCAGCGAAACAGCAGTTAAATTCCCATTGGCCAAAAGCGCAGCAACGCACTGCTTCTTCAAGGAGGCCATCGTGAAGCCGCTGGGGTTCACCGCGCCTGCGCAGTGGGGAAGCGTGATGATGTCACCGCCGGAGCGCCGTGTGAAAAAGGAAAACGTGGCACGCTGCTTGTAGGAATGCACTGTGTGTAGGAATGTTTTCGCATTCCTACTTGCAAGCAGTCTGAAATGTTCTTGTATTTCAGTATGTGTGTGCGTGACCGAGGCGTTTGTGTGCGCGACCATGAGCAATGCTATTCTTCGACGTCTTCGTTAAGTTCTGTTTAGCGTGATTTTCTGTCTCTTTTTATACTTGTTTTTCAGTTTAACAACATTGTGCGATTATGTAAACGTTACATGTATCGCCCCTCTAGGGCCTTTAGGGGTGTTTAAAAAAAACCCTATCGCGAAATTACTGTTAGAATTACTTTTCTCCCCTCCTTTTTTAGGACCGTCGGCTCCATCGATTCTGCTGTGCACTTTCGGAGCGGCGGGAGTCGTGAGTGCGATGATGCCGGACGACGGAATTTGCGACGTCATCTTCTACACGCACGGATTCGAGAGCAACGGCACTTTCCTGGGCACCGGTGACGAGATGGCCTACGGCGTCTTTCTCGAAGCGGCGGGGAACTTCACCCAGACTACGTTCGGAGTGTCCATCGGCGTAAGGTGAGTGCGGATCCCTCAAACACGTCACAAGTTCCTGAGCGCGTTCTTCTTGAGCACTTGCATAGCTTCCTATGTACTGACAAAGCCTGGCAGATCGTCACGAGAAGCGGCCGCCGAAATGCAAAAAGGTGGAGCGGCAGACAACGGATGAGAGGAGAAACACGTAACTGGCGCCCCGCTGCGGCGAGACGCCGAAACACACTTCTCCCGAGCGAAAAAGTGTGTTTCGGGTCCTCGCCGCTGCAAAAACTGTGCGCTGACGTCCAGGTTCCCCGAGATTGGCTCTTTGATGCTCTGCGCTACCAGATCCTCGCGCTCCAAATCTGCGGCCGGGTAATCTATGGCTCCGTCGTCGAACTGCCAGGCTTTGTGAGTATAGAGGAGGCTATGGCAGTTGTAACCGTTGTCGCCGACAGTTTAAAAAACGTGGGGGCGTGGCTTCTTGTGTTCACGCTTCTTGCTACCTGATTGGCTCGCCGGCGTCATTGTCGCTGGATGCCACGATCCCAATGGCCACGGAGCATTAATGAGGCGCTGGGGACCCGCCCCGCCCACTTAAGCTCGCAGTTGCTGTAGTTACGATTACGAGTTCGTAGACGGTTTGCTTCACCTGCGGATGTATCTCACGCGAGTCGTTCGACAGCTCCCTTCAAATAAAATGATTGAGTGACAAATTTCTAAAGCGAATTGCTGAACAATTGTGTTGCATATACATAAAACGTTCTAGCATTACGTGACATCAGGGCAGGTGACGTCAATGTCCCCGCTAAATTTAGCGGGGAAACTGATTTAGAAAGGTAGATCACGAGACGTCAATTTTTCCGCAAAACATAGCTGGGAAATTGACTTCAGATGACCTGATGCCAGACGACATATGCGCCGATGTAACTTCCGCGCTAAATTTAGCGAAGAAACTGACCTGGTGCGTAGGTCTGTGACGTCCCATGATGCAACACTACGCACGTTGAATTATGGCACGTCACAGGCCGCGGCTTCAAGAAATCCAAAGCAACTAGCCAAATAACGTTTCACGTTAAAAATTGGGAATGTATACTTTAAGATGCTATATTTAACATCACTGCACATATTGCTGCAGAAATGCACGCGACCGCAAAACTTCCGACATCGTAAAGGGATGTCAAGAAGCTTGGGATGCCAACGTGAGACACTTTGGAATGCTGGACGTCTGGGAACTTGAGGACTACGAAGGCGCAAAAGATAACGAAATGATTACGCTTTTGGTAAGTAACTCTTGTCGGGCCATTTGTTTCGTCTCGTTTATTTTTTTTTTTTTATTTCTTTTTATCGAGAAGCGGGTACCGTATTACTTGAGCAATATATACTGGAGCAATATGGGAAATTATTCAGGAGTTCCAGCCCAACAAATGATTGCTTGAAATTATCGTTTGTTTCTTTGTTTGTTTTTTTCAATTGCCGATGAAAAATGAACCAGGTTTCCCGAACACGTTGTCCACGCGAGCTCGCTCTCCCTTTTATTACAGCGGTGTTGAGTTCATTTTAATGCAACAACATTGTTTTTGATCTGTACCTGGTTCCGTTTGTGCACATGTGCTTGTAAACCACCCTACAAAAGTCCTCAAATTAGCATTAGTAGTATTGATAAATAAATAAAAAAATAAAAATGAAACATAATAAGGCTGGTGCACACACTTGTGACTGCTTCCGACCGAGGGCATTAAAACTTCTTGGGATCTTTTATGGCGAGAGAACTTGCTGGCGCCATCTATCGGATAGCCGTGGAACATTTTTGATTTTCGTATATTTTTCCACTTATTTTCCTCATCATTCCTTTTTAATTGGCTTTATGAACCTTTGACGGTGTTATTAACGACCATTTCTTATAAATACTGCCTCTTATCCCGCAAATCCTGTAAAATCTTTGCTCTAGTGAAGTGCAGTTAAAGGGTCCCCTCGTAGATGGCGCCAACGTACCAGTGTATTCTTTAGTCGTAAGAGGTCACAAAATACTCGGTCGTACGCAAACACAAGTTTGCTTACGCTGGGCTCTGCTGATTCGGAAAGCCAGTCCTACCTTGGTGCACTAGCCTTGACAGACACGTCGTGATTCTTTCAGACAGGTTGTATTTGAAGACTTGAGTACGCTCAGTCTCGCTCTCTTGATGAGGAACTAAGGGTTCGATGTCGTTGTTCACGGCATCTAGTTCCACCTTAAGTCCCGTTAGTCGGTCGCGTAAAACGTCCGCACTGATGTCAGTTGCTGATTGAGTGGTTCGTTGCACTCTGACGCACCAGCGTACGGGCTTTCGCCTTTCTGTTTCGCCTCGCACGCCCCCAGGAAAACACCTGCTTGTGCAAATAAGTTAAGAAGATTATTATTATTATTATTATTATAAGGTGTGTCGTTTGAGTGCGAAGTACCTTACGTTTCTTGGCCTACCGATTCATCGTTTGACAGTCTCGCTGCAGATGTCGCGTTGAGAGTCTCGTTCAGGGCTTTACTAGCAGCCTTTGTCTCCACTGCACTCGTGGAACGCATGAGAAGGCGGAACGCTGGCGTCTGCGTTCGGCTCTAGCATTCGAACACATTTGACGAGTGCAGTTGGGATAAAGGCAGCTAGTTTTTTTATCTGCCCACTAACCATTCGAATCAGCTAGAGCTCGGCCTTCTGACCACAGCCATATGTAGAAAGAGTTTGGTAAGTGGGAAGAGCGGTCAGAGCCCGAGCGTGCACAAGACGCAGATATAAGACGTGGCGTGCTCACTTTGCCAACCAGAAGCCGAAAATAATCCCCTAGCGGTGGTAGTGAGAAACAATTTTAATAAGTGCGCAAGAGTTAAATGGAGTAACTCTTCATGGTTGAAAATAAAGTGTACGTGATGTTTCGATTATGTTCATGCAAAAAGATGTAAGAATCGAATGTTCCGCTAGAGCTTTTTTTTTTTGCTCGGTCGGAGTCTGACCGCTCGGACGGCATTATCCCGGCCGTCGGCGCCTGGCGCACGGATTACGTCGATCGTTCGCCTAGAATTTGATTGCATGACCGTGATCGAAAAATCACGTGCAATATATTCTCAGTCACCGAGGGCTACTCTGACGCACTTATTAATTTTGATTCGCGCGACAACCGCCAGGTCATTATTCGTTGTTTCTGACTGGCCACATTCGAATATGTGAAGACGCCCTGGAACACGCCCAGTCCGTTCTCGGCCAATGCAGCCTCGTTGTTTGCCTCCTCTACTTCCCAATGAATGGCCGAACTCCCTCAATATACGGCTCTGGTTCGCACGTCTCCGCGCTCTCGTTTCCTCCTCTCCATCACTTTCTCGGCACATCGATAATATTCCGTCGTCAGCAACATAACAGCAAAAATGTATCCCGAATTGCCCTGCAATGGTTTTGCTGCATGGAACGATCTTGGTTTAGCGCTAGTAACCCGCAGGCATTTCTTCTCGAGCTGTGCCGTACCCGAAACATGGTTTTGAAACCCGACAAGAAAAGAAGCGGTAGCACGAGGAACGCGAGAAGCACGAGCGGACATTCCATCGCTCGGGGAAGCGTGTTTTGGCGTCTCGCCGCAGCGGGGCGCCCGTCACGTGGCTCTCCTCTCATCCGTTGTGTGCCGCTCTACCTTTTCACTTTCAGTGGCCGCTCCTCTTGGCGATCTGCCAGGCTTTGTCAGTATAGAGGAAGCTATGATAACTACGTTCCCGGCATTATTTTTGACGTTCGGGTAATTCGGCAAGATTGGTGTTGAGGTCACGTGACGTCAATTTCCCCCTAAATCTAGTGGGGAAACTGAATTTGCGCATTGGACATGTGACGTCATTTTTCCGGCTAAATTTATCGGGGAAATTCGCGGTTACGCTTTTTGAGGCTTCACTTCACCTAAAAACCTAGCCCATAAACGTTTCACGTTAAAAAAAAAAAAGATATATATATCCATCATGGGGTCGTCAAAGAGTCGCTGAAAAGTCAAACAGCGATCACCTTCGAACATTGTACGCTTGCAGGACTTCAATGGCTTTCACAAAACGAAGCGAGCGCTGTACACGGGCCCGCTCTATATTGCCTTCGCGGCGTCGTCGACAACTGACCAGGCCGGCACGACCAAACTCATGAAACGCGTGCTCAAGTGAGTGTTGTCTACTGTTACGAGCGCACAAATCGACGCAGTAAAGACTGGTTCACGCACTTGCACCCGCTTAAAACTAGGGCTGGGCGTCGAATGAAAATGTTAGCTCGATTATTCGGCACCCTTTAATCGATCAATTGATCGGCTAATCAGTTGCGCTAATTTTTTTAAGAATATTTAAAGAGGGGAAGTTTGCATTTCTTCTCTTTGCTGATTTTATTTACTTTGGTAAAGAGCGCAATGTATTCAATATTGCTTGTTGTTGTTGTTGAACCTTACTTGAATATTCATATTGAAGTAGGGTTCAGCTTCGATGTGTATCGAAGAACAGTCAAAGAGACTCGCAGACTTATTCCTGTGGAAGTAAATACGTTGTTGATATCCTCCGGCAAGAACGAGCTCATAGCTTGTTCACAGTAGTCACTGCTGCACTAAACAGACACTCGCTTGGCATTCAAGTGAGCCTGTCAGATGTAATCTCCTCGCCTTATTGTGGGCGTGGGTTGCAAACCTTGGCCCTGCTGAATTCAAACAAGTTAAATTAAGAAACAAGTAAAAGTAAAAAAAAGAAAAACGCCACGCCTTTTTCCTTTTATGGTACTTAACAGTTAAAATGTAGCGTTGCTCATATGTCCTCTACCCAACCATCTGCAGATGAGGGCACTCGTTAAAGGGAGGTAGATGGCTTCAATCATTGTTTTGTCCAAAATCCAGATTAAAATTTAAAAACAATACCTTAATTGGTGCTTTCGATCCCCTTGGACTATTCCGCTGCCTTCGCTGTGAGTAATTTCGAACATTGTGGACTTGCAGTTATTTGAAAGTGCCCCGCGATATATATATATATATATATATTTTTTTTTTTTTTTCAAGGTGGGACAGCGTTTGGCGCGAGCCGAGGAAATGTCACGCCAGGCGGCTGCCGGCAGGTCTTCCTGCCCAACGGCTCAATCTCGCTAACGGCCAGCGTTACTTAAGTACTCAATTGGGAAACTCATTCTTGAAACCTGGACCGCTGGCGTCCACCGAGACCAAGCTAAACACGATAACAGCGCCACCCTTTAGTGACGAGTTGAAACATGAAAGTTCCTTTATATGGCTGCTGCTATAGTCACCGAATGTTCCCAGAAAACTGACACCCCCAGGCTCGAGTTGCAAAGATGGCTGCTCAATCTTTTTTTCTTTACTGTGGTCACCATGAGCTTTTAAAAAAGCATGTTTTTACGTAAAAACAAACTAAAAAAGCTCGTTTTGTAGGAACTCTTATTGGAGATTCGTACAACAATACAGGAGCGTAATGGTTGCATAAACTTTTAGTTTACAGGGTTTTGCGGCACAATGAATATTGTTTTCATACAACCATGTCTCACCGGTGACCTCAGGTAGCGCGTCCCGACCTGGGTACGCCCTGCGGCGCGTTCGCTCGGGAGACGGGGGTTGGCATCCCTGAAATTTCTTCCATCGTATGTGTTTCGGCGACAAAATGGCCAATCAAAGCCAATATAAGACAGTCACCGTTACAATGCAATTAAATGCGAAGGTGCAAGCAATCTGGGCAAGAATGACGAAAATAATCCCTGGAGAAGGGGAACGAGAGGGACAAAGGACAAAAAAGGATCGCAATCAAATGCGATAATCCCGAACCAATGCAAGCAGCCCTCCAGTTCCCTGAGTGGCCGCTGCGGGAGAAACGGCGGGGTTGCAATCTTCATGAGTTCAGGTCCCGAGTATGGATCGGAGCTACTCTTTCAGGGCAGGCTCTAGGGCAGTTTCCCAACTGAGTTGTTCTAGTAACGTTGCTAGAGACGTAAATGCGCCGTCCTCCCTCTCTGGATTGAACCATGGTTAAAAGCGCTAGAAAGACGTACACAAGATAGAAGACAAACTCGGGCGTGGTTCAATACAGTCAACATTAACTAGCCCTACAACAAGTTCTTTTACAGTTCTCCCACTCTGGGCTCTCGCTAGTTTGACTGGAACCTCAGCCGGCGGAATGCCCAAACTTGACCCCGTGAATATCCAGACCATTGTCCAGATAAGCCGCCAGGCTTTTCTGTCGGACCGCCACCGCTAAACGACTCGCCGCGCCAGTTTCCCATCGGCTTCGCCGGCGACCAAACTTGGTGACCTTGGATACATAAATCGCGATTAAAGCGTTCATCGATTAAATGGAACGTTGATCGATCAATTACACAGTCCTACTGAAGTCCTCTTAGGACCCGGTGCAGCGGAATGACCCACAGGCGCAATCCATTGTGTAGCTGTGGAACACTTGGCATTTCCGTATATTTCTTTTAACCGCATCATACTTTCTTTTCTGACTTAAAAAACCTTTTTAACGGTGTTACAAACGCCAATTTCTCATAGGTTGTACGTACATCTGATATCGCACATATTGCAAAATCTTCGCTCTGGTGACATGCTGTTCCAGGGTCACCTCATAGTGGCGCAAGCGTGCCGGCGTGTTTTCTTTTCGTAAGAGATTACCGGAAGCAAGCGCAAGTGTGTAATCGTGCCTCTAGCGCAAACACAACATTCGAGCTTTTATTTTATTTTATTTTTTACTTTTAGGCAAGACGTTTGCAGTTTAGTGGTTTTTCAAACATTTTGCCACCTGTAGTTTCTTTAAAAAAGAAATAGGATTACTAAGTAAGTTACGCTTTGAAGTAACGACACGCCAGTTAATTAAAGCTTTACCGGAAATCGCGGGAAACGCTGTTCCGTCCTCTAGAAATATCAAAAACAATCTGCGACAACGCAAAACGTGATGTCGTCTGAGCTTTCTTGACACCGCATCTAAAACTTACCGGAAGTTTGATACTTTAGATCCATGTTACGAATAAAAAAACAGGGCGCGGGATGGCCAAAGAAAAAAAAGAGAACACGCTTTTCGTGTAAGACTCCTCAAATTCTGAGGCGCTGGAGAAAACCAGCCTGCTGTGTTAGGTCCTTATTTCGAACTATTTTTGCTCGCATTCCGCCCATTGAAGACCATGCAGAAAGCGACTCAGCACGCACCTCGTATCGCTGCGCCGCAGTGCTCTTCCGCAACACAAAAAGCCGTCTGTAACGAACGCAGAACGACCTTATCGGACGGCGCGTGTATCACTGGGCGCGCGTATCACAAGGTTAAGTCCAGGAATTGTGTCCCCCAACATTCTCATGGCGCGGCCGTCGCCACCTAGTGACGGAGAACTCCCAATCAGTGCTCGCACATGTTCCAGGGATTACAATTTCCTGAACCTGGTGGTACTCAAGAGCCACGTGTCCCAATGGATGAACCAATCGTTCCTCGTGGCCGTGGGACCGAACACCAGAACCACGGCTTCCATTCCTTCACAGCCCCTCAGCGTAAGAACAGCGCCGATTTATTGGCTCGTTTACGTACTCTATACACTAACACAGTGTTTAGAAACAAGCCTGCGTTTGCCCACAGTGCGTGCGCAGAAACTAGATTTCGCGTGAAGCATCTGCGCATGCGCAGTGCCGACACCAGCGCCACCGCAGTGCCCTGACGTCAGAGACCACTGTTGAAGAAGAGAGAGAGGGAGATGTCTGAACGGCGCCCCCTTGCTACAGAGCGAGTGTGTCAAAGGTTTGCTCCCATTTCTGACAAACGCCGCGAGATGGCGCAGCATGACAAGAGCTCGAGAGACATTCCTCATTCGCTCACACGTTTTCAAGGCATCGAGGCGAAACATCACCGAGACCCAACCGGACAGCTCCCCACCAGGTGACGCGCGAAGCCCGAGTGGAATTTCGACACCCTTTCTGTCCTTGTTCAGACAGCTCTCTCTTCTTCCGCCGTGCTCTATTGACGCTTTACACACGCGCCAAATTACAGCCGCCATTGCTGACCTTCTTTTGTCTTACCGAGATGCCGAGCAACTGAAACGGTAGTTGACGATTCTCTACAAAGGCCGATGCTTTAGAAAATGACACAGTTGAATCTAATATGCCAATAACCTGGCCTGCTGTGGCAATGATGAAGTGAAATAAACGGAATAAGAGGAAACAAAAACTGAAGGTCAGTTATGGCGGCGTCCATGCACAGCTACTGCAAAGCGTCTATATTCTAAACCAGTAGTTCTCAATCAATGATGTTTGGCGGACCCTTTGTGGATCGGCGGAGATGATGGAGGAACTTGTTCGTGGTGAAGGGAAGAAAAAGGTATAGGTTATTTATGATAATGATTTTAAAAATGAATATAATGAAGAGCTGTGTGAAGTACACTCCTCTCGTTGACGAGAAAACTCACCCGAGAAGTGGAATATTTCTTCCCAATCTGAATAAAGACAACTTTTATTGCCGGGCTTGACTGATGAGGTAGGGCTTCGCGGACTAATAGAATGCCATCGCGGACTCCTATTTAAGAACCACTGCTCTGAACAAAATCTCTGAGTTCCTTTTCTTGCAGAAGAGGGAATCAGCCACTAATGCCCGGACCATAGAAGGATCGCGGGAAATGATAATTAAAGCTCAGAATATTTGACCGAAAAATTCGATGCGATCAAGACTTTTTTTCTTCTTCTTTTTTTTTCTGCTTTAGTTTAGGTTATAGGAGTAAAACAAACATGCCGGTGCGTCTATGGGCAACTCCAGAGGAGGGGCCACCACCCAGCGGCCTATACCGTGACTTTTTGAAACGGGACCCTCTCGCTTGTCGAAATGTACTGCGAAAACTTGCGCGATTCGTCGCCAGAAGTGTGGAAACGGGGATTAAATAGAGACCTCAGGGGTCACATATACATTGTATCACCCCACTTCAGAGTACAGTCGACGTAAAGGGGTGTCCAAAGAGGATACTTCGAAACGCATGGGGCGACAGTTCTCGCATCATATGAAGCAAAACTTGAAGTCCGGCAGTGCACTCTAAGCCCGGTCCCACTTAGTAAGAGGGACATTTCTTCGATTTTTTCCACTTAACTTTAAGGGGGGCGACAGACCTTTTAATATTACATGGAGATGCTCCCTCTTAATTAAGTGAGACACCACCCCTCTTAAAGTAAGCGAGGCGGCGTCTCCCTTAAATTTGAGGTCAGAGTCCCTTAGTAAGAGGGACAGTTTTTAGATAGTTTCTTCCTTAAATTCGGAGGGACGGTGGCCCGCTTAAAATGCAGGGGTATAGTCCCCCTTAAGTCGGGGTCACGCTGCTTATACTTCATACAAAATACATTCTGCAGACATTTTCCGAAGCGAGTCGCCTCGACATCCGCGCTTCGTACGCTACGAGGTAACCAAATCAAGAGGTTACTTTGTCACGAGGCATATAAAGCACGGATGTCGCGGTGACTCGCATTGGAACATGTCTGCAGAATGTATTTTGTATGATGTATAAGCAGCGTGACCCCGGCTTTAAGTTACCTCTGTTATTGTATCGTACAATTTCTGCTCCTTCGTGTTTTGAGTGTCAGGTGACATGCTGCACTGCACTTCTCGCACTTTCGCTGATATTGTTTAACCAAAGTTATTCTGTGCTGCGTAGCAGAATTGAAATTTGATCTGTATATCTTGTTTGATAAACGGAATCAATGTGTTAAAGAAAACAGTAACAATCTTTAAGAGTAAACACTGTTTTATTTGCCATGACACAAGAAAATATTTTGATATGTCTTTATCAAAATAATAATTCTATAACGATGTTCTGGTAGCTTTTACGAATAAAAAAGACTTAGAACGACGCCAGAAATTGGCGTTTCTTGGAAACTATCACCCAAAAAATTTCGTGCTGCAGAGTGACTCATTTTGCCTGTCATAAACAATAACAATACAATCGTGCTGAAAAAAAAAGTTTTTTTAGCGGATAACAGAAAAAGAAAAGTACATTCTAAAAAAAAGCCCGTGCGTCTACTTTCCCGCACAACACTTGGAAAGACAATCACCATAACTCTCGGAGGCAGCTCAGCGAATGTAGATGCCCAAACATATGATTATACCAAAAAAATGAGTTGCGACATTAAGCACAACAAGCGTGATGTTTTGCATTGGTTAATGTCACAACTCGGACTGGCTTTTTTGGTCTAATCTTATGTTTCGGCATCGTGATTCGCTGAGCTGCTTCCGTGAGTTACGGTGATTGACTTTCCAAGTGCTGGCTCGGGAAAGTAGATTCCTGTGCTTTTTTTAGAGCGTAGTTACCTGCTTCATAGCATTAAAAACTAATTATTCGGCGTCTCTTGCCATCAGCAGAGGCTCAGAATTTCTGTTGTTTTTGAACGGCCATAAGCGATTTTATGAGCTTCTCCGACATAAACTGAATCGAAACACTTTATTTTCAACGAGCAGCCCCTAGAGGAGTCCAAGAGTTTGTCCACATGCCACAGGGTAGGAGAGTCCCGTTATGTAATACACCCATAAGCACATGACTAGTGCCCCCTCCATAGTCGTGCTAGCGGAGAGTTTCACTGACCAGTTCCCAGAAACGATCCCTTTCTCCGAACCGAAGAAAGTCTTGGGTCTTGGAACTTTTTCGTCAGGGGTAAAATCGTCCTGCAAGCAGCAATTGTTAAAAAAAAAAAAAATTGCGTCAGCGTCAAACTTAGATTTCTATTTTTGCATTCGCTTTTTCACATACCATAGGTGATGAAAGAACTTCTGGCCAATCGAGGCCGGAGGATGGTCTTAATGTTCAAGAATGTTGTTGGGTTGTCTCCGCAGAAGGCCCCTTTTACCTCCTCCAGGTTTCCCAGCATGGTGACGATCGTGTTATGGAACCGAAGTTGTGCATCCACCTTTAGCTGAATGAAAGACCATATTGTTTTCCTTTAGATACAGAGAGTGGGAATTAGAATAAAGGGAATGAAGCGCTTTCACCTGTTATCAAGCAGGCGCTAGGAAACAAATGCGAAAATAAAGTGCAAACAGTTCAAAGATTCGGAACCCAATCTGTATACGATGAAATAGCGAGTGACATTAGCTTATGACGTAACTTCTGCTACTATTAATTTTTGTACGAGAATAGACTGCAGTTTTAATTAATTTACGAGAATCAATCGTTTCTGTATTACCAAGACAAAACGAAAACGCAAGATGAACTTTAGAAGCCCCATGTGCTTTGGAAAGCACGGATTGCATTTGCGGCTCGAAGCTGCAGAAGAGATCTAGTGCATGTTTTAGAAAGCAACATAATCAAATAAAAAATTACATTACTGTAAATATTTCGCCGCAAGCCATTCATTTTTTTTTTTTTTTTCAGAAGCAGTGCATATGTTAACAGAACGTAAATAGAGCCTACCTACATACCAGAATACAAAAAGTTAATAATTACCGAGTTCGTTGTGAACCGTGTGCGGGTGGCCGCAGTAGGCTCACCACTCAGGGTGGTGCGTTCCACCGTGCAGAGGGTCCCGGTAGAGCTCTTTAAACGAGCAATCCGAGCGGAACCCCCGCCTGATTCCCTTCATGTCAACGTTCGTTGCCATTGCCTCACTCTGAAAACAAGATTGTTAATAACGGTCAGTCATTTAACGCCCATAGTCAATTTAGCCCTAAAGCGCATAAGAAAGAAAAAAAAAAAAAACTTCTGTTTATATATTTTTCGCGGATGTACCACACAGAAAAAAAATATATTCAGCCAGCTACAGAAAACAAAGAGGATAATAAACATCATAAATAAAATCTCCAAAAACAAAAACATGGTCGGCACCAAAAAAAAAAAAAAAAAAAGCCGGTAGCTGTGCCGGCATAACCGTCAAAATATAACGAACAAAACAGTACGCCAAAGAAATAAAAAAAAAAACAAAAAAAAACAACAATGTACTCCCTGGCCACCGCTACACCCTTCCCCCCTTTCCGCAGACGCCGCGACGCCGACGCAACGCGAACACATTATTTCTTCTTTTTGTTTTGTGCTCGTCCAATCCCCCTGCCCTTTTCACAAACATACATACACATTATGGGTTTTTGCTCGCCGCCCACTTGAGAAAAAAGTGTTCATAATCACTGCAACGCTAACGATGTCTACAACATAACGTTGCAGTGTAAATGGCAGTAATGAATTGTGAAGGCCAACAAACGCAAAATCGCCAACATTGTTTCTGTCACTCAACGCTCTCGGGCGGTCAACCTCAAGCATTTAGTGTGCACACAGAGAAAGAAATCGGCGAGCCAAGCTTACAAACACTGACTGCCCCAGCTAGGGTGCCTCTATGTTGGCTTTGCCCAAGGGAGGGTGATGCCATCCTTTGTAGTACCCGATGCCGACAGTGTACGCTCACGGATAAAATACCAGGAAATTGCCGGTAATAAAATGCCGGCGTAGCACTGCCAAAGGTAGCAGCTCGAGCTGGGAGAAGAACGATCGCGCGTTCGAAATTAAAAAGTAGACAAAAGCGTCGGACAGAAAATGGTCTGATATCACCAGCTTAAGACAGACGCGTACACACTGGGACACCCTAACCCGCTAAAAGTGTTTTGTGCGAAAGACAGCCCGGCGGCTCACGGCAGGGCAAACGATTAGCGTCGCTTTGTCCTAGCTGAACGAGCAGATCCAGGAAGCGACCGCGTCCGCGGACTACAGCTGGACACTCTCACTCTACATGCAAAGCTCGTGCATCTCACAGCCAGCGTGAAAATATTGATGGCTCGTTATTCCCACCCGCAATGCACCCAAAACAAAAGCGCCAATATGACAGGATTACTCACCCGAAGGAAGTCAAACGAGCAGCATGACGCTTGCGACTCTCCGGCAACGACCGTTTCCAGCTCTCCGTGAATTGGCGCGAAGCCTTAGCACCGTCCGAACTCTTTGCCGTGGATTAGTGCGCCTGCCCCCCTCCTCCTGACCGAACTACATTGGTCCAGTTAAGAGGGACCAGTCCCCTCTTAATATGAAGGGACACGCGTGAATCTTTTTGTCTGTCTTTCCTGTTCAGAGGGACTAACGAAACGGTTTCCTTGGTTTCTCTTAATATGTTGGTGTCCCTCTAGATGTTGCTATTTTATTTTTCAATTTCCCTCTTAAAAAGGGCTGACCCCCTGAAAGCATTGTTGTCCCCTCTAAAATCAGAGGGACAGCGTTTTTTATGAGAGACCGGTTTTAGAGTGTGCGCCTTCTGTTTGGACATCCAGCAGGCAAACATCACGGCAGATTCCCTTCTCGCCTCCTCTGCTTTTCTGTGATGCCGGTGCGCAGTCAGACTCAACGTCTCACACCACTTGCCGATGGTGTGCCTGTCGCCTGTCCATCAGTTGCGTCGTGCCCTATTTTCCGTTTTCGGGACTTCTCTTTCCCGCTTTCGGGACTTGAAGAACAACAGAGGCCTTGAGCGACTGACTGAGAGCCAACAGAGCGTGAGACGTCAGGACATGCGTGATGAGAATGCTCTAGGCCTCCATGAAAGACAAAAGCAGACGGAAGGTGGTGGAGCACCACGTCACCGCGTCTGCCTGGCGATACTTACACTGCCTGGTGATAGTTACAAAAGGCAGAGAGGAAGCAAGTTGGCTTAGAAGGGCGAGGGGAGAAATAACTTTTTTTTTTTCCTTCTTAGGCTAGGTAGCGCCAGCTACCTCCAGTTATAAAGGGTACAGCTAATAGCATCTATCCATTCATCCGTAACCTTTTCATATTAATGTGTGTGTCTGTATCCGGAGGTCTTGTAGCCTTTGACCGCGCCCTGACTTATGGCAGAACGAAGTATTCGGTACTCCAGGAATGGAGATGGCACTCATCGGTAAGGGCGCGAAAAAGCAGATACCGCTTATCCACGCACGCAGCAAAAACTGGAGTGACCTTGCGGCTGATATGTGAATCAGAGGAACAAGAATTGAATGCACAAGGTTTGAGATGAGATTACTGTTTCCAAGGTGGATCATTTCGAACGAATAGGTGATTGTGGCTGCGAAGCTTCTCTTTGTACAGTTCTACGGTTTTCTACTCTCGCGAGCACGAAAAATGCGCGACACTGTTAGCAGAAGCACGACTTCAGCGCGCTTCTTTTTTTCGCATTTTATTTTGAAAGAGTGCTGGCCGCCATCAAACTTTATCACTCAGGCTAGCATCCCAACTGAGCACTTTCCACCACTATTAGCGATGTGCGCGACCAAAAGCGTCGCTGTGGTCAGCTTTCCACGATTGGCCAAACCATGGGCATATGAGCACTGTCAGATTGTCAACTTTGACGGTGTTAGTTTCGGATTGCGATGGCTCCTAGCTTCTACTGTGCTTTTTAAACACACCATCGAACTCGTCGTCGCACCCGATGGTAAGTAGCCAGAATAACAACTGGTGACGTCACGGTGAGGCCAATCCCAGTCGTGACGTCACGGAGGGAAACCATAAGAGGGCGCCACCAATACATCTCGGCGCTAATACTAGTTTTCATGACAGTTTTAATACTGAAGAGAAGACAAAGGAAACCGGCGATGCCTTGTTCGTGCTAACAGTCATGGAGCTGTACCCTTTGGTCTTTCTTATTCGCTTTTTACTACATGTTCATCATCGCTCAAGGGGAACATTTTTTTTTTACATCGGCATCTCCTCGATTATGGCAGGAAAACAACACCTTTCGCATTAATTAGCATATTCGCCCTTCCCGTTTCATACATTTAATCCCCTTTGCCCTGTTCCTTTTACATTGGTATCCCCAAGACGAGTGGACCGTTTCACTCGCTTTTTCTTCCGTCTCTTCTCCCTTTATATTTTTTCTTTTTCTTTTTCTCTCTTCCCGCATGAACTTCGTCTCTCCCACCCAAAGACCGTAATCGGGCCGGGGCTGAAGACGACCAGACTATCCAAGAATGGCAGGCACCTGATGATGTCGCTTACGCTGGGCAGCGCGGGCTACCGCATGCCGAAAAACTGGACCGGAGGTACCGCGGAACAGCCTTCGCACTACCATCTCATGTTCTACATGCAGGTCGGTCTCCCCGCCCCCGAATTTTCGGCCAGCGTAGGCCGCAAGCTGGGTGCAGCTTTCACGCCCTTCACTCTAGCGGGAAGTTCCCGTGGTAGATTTGAAACGGTTCCGGAGCGCTTTCTGGTTGGAAACTTGAGGGTGCAAGTGGGCGTTCGCAGCTGTACCGCAAAGGCTCGAGCACGGAGCGCTTTTGGATCTCTCCAAATCCACCAAAGGAATTTCACATGAGAAATCAGGAGAGTCTGCTTTCCCCCAAATCACTTGTGGGAGCCAATCGCTGTATTATACAAATGGCTTAAAAAGTATAAAGCGCCGAGAACAACAAGGACCAAGACGAAGTGAAACAACACAAGGCGCTTTTGTGTTGTCTTGCGCTGTCTTCATTCGTCTTGGTCCTCATTTTCGGCGCTTTATACTTTACAAGCTAAGAACCAACTAGTCCTATTAACCACTTTGCTACGGATGAGTCTCAAAGAATGACGAGGCTTAATATGTGTTTATACCTAAGAACCTAAGAAGTTGATACCTAATGGTGAAATATCATGTTCAATGCCATAGCCCAGACTTTTTTTAAATTAGGTCTAAACAAATTATCGGCCTTCTAATTTGCTCAAATTCCTCCGCAGATTGCAGTGATTGGCTGTCCCAAGCGTTTGGTGGGAAAGTAGACGCTTCAGATTGCTTACAGCCGGAAAGCCTCAGAACCACAGCCGACGTTCTGACGAAAGACATTCGAAGCTAAGTCATTTAACAAAACGTCCGCTGCCACTCTGAGGCTTTGAGGATGTTTCCGTGTAAGTTCTGCATATCAACTTCGATTACCTTTGTTCCAATGTATGTGTATGACTTGCATTGACGACACGTGAGCTCTCCATCGTGGCGGCCTTACCGCTCATTCACACTGGAAGCGGATCCGCGATCGCAAAGCGGTTGCGAACGCGGTTGCATAAAGATCCAGTGCAATTGCACGCGCACTCGATGACATCGAGTGCGCGTGCGATTGTACTGGATCTTTATACAACCGCGTTCGCAACCGCTTTGCGAACGCGGATCCGCTTCCAGTGTGAATGAACGGTTACTGATGAGCGAGTTGCTCCTGCAGCATACACTTCGCACCCCCAAATTCGTTTCTATGGGAAAGAACAAGCAGGAATGGCCCACAGCACAATGCGTTGACGTCACGCCGAAGTCATATATGTGTATCTGTCTAAGGACCAACGTTACTACAGTCCCGAACGACTTAAGAACGGCAGGGGCGTGATGAGCCCCAATGACATCACTATCGCTCCACAGCCAATGAAATCGCACCATTCGGTGATAAGAACACGGAAAAACGTATTACGAAGCAGGAAGCATGAACATAATACGCGACGCCCTCAGTTCCTGAAACTATCAGGCTGACTATGAAACAACCCAGTTGGGAAACGTACACCTGAAACGTGGGCCCCTCACGCCGACCGGAATGTGGGCCAGGTTCGATGACAAGGGCGCTCTTTGGCGCAACCAACTAGATTTTTTTTTTTTTTTTTAATTGGCGGTACACAATGCGTTTTGACGGCGGAGGGAACAGGGCTTAAGAACAGTTTACATTGTTCACAAAGGCAAGATGTTCCTTAGTTGTTTTTTTTTTTTTGTTGTTGTTTTTTTTACTTTATTAATGTCATTTCTGGGATGGACAATTCGTGGAGACGCCGCAGCGTAGAGTGGCCGTGCCATCTTCGTTTCGGTACGCGTGTAGCTTCCGAAGTGCCGCTGCGGCAGCAGAAGCGGCAGCGCTGCGTTTTCATCCATCTCGGCATTGAAGTCCGGGTTGGAGCCAGTCCTCCAAAGCAGGTTCCTATGGATGTCTCCCAACGAAGTTGTTCTGTAACATTGCTTGTGACGTACATCGTGTCATACCCTGGAAGAGACGTCCTTTTTTTTTTTTTGTTTTGTTCTCGGAGCACTAGAAAGAGCCCCTCTAGGATTGAGCTCTTCCCTTTGACCGGTTGCTCGATGCTGTGCATTTGACACTTGTTTCTACAAAAAGTGGTGCGACCCCAAAAAGAGCACTTGAGGCCACCCTGCATTCTTAGAAGGTGACTGCATACGGCATCACAATGCCTTCTAAACACTAGTCAAGGGTCATTTTTTAATTAATACAGACAAAATGAAAGGTCGAGTGGTGTCCAGTATTACTTACAATGCAGTTTCAGTGACGAAAGCTCTTCACCCCTTTTGACACTGACACAACGTGGCGCCATGTAGTGTAGCAAAGTGGCCAGTTGGGCGAATTGGTAGGCATTGAGTATGGCAATAAACAGCGCACAGGAGACAAAAACACAGCGCTTGTCCTGTCTGTTTTCTTCTACGGTTTCCTCGTCTCCTGCCCGCTGTTTATCACCTTGCTGTCTGAAGGTTGGTACCGATCGCCCCTCTCATTGGCTAATCTAATTCAACAATAACCACAGATTTCTGTTTTAGAGCGCAGCTCTTAGGCGCCCGTTTCCGGCTTGAGCGGCGTCGCCGTCGCCGTCGGCGTAACCGCGCGGTGCATTATGGGAAATGTCCCATAATGCACCGCGCGAGCCCCCCACCGGGGTCACGTGACCTCGTGGGGGGGCACGTGACCCCCCCCCCCCCCGAGGTCACTTGGCCCCCCGAAGTCACGTGACTCCCCTGAGGTCATGTGACCCCCTCCTCGAGGTCACGTGACCCCCGAAGTCACATGACCCCCCGAGGTCACGTGACCCTTGCCGATGTCGCGTGACCCCCCCGATGACGTCATCGTCACTGATGACGTCACCGGCATCCACATCGTCATCGGCATCACTGATGACGTCACCGGCATCGTCATCGTCATCATCACTGATGACATCATCAGTGACGTCACTGATGACGTTACCGACATCCGCATCGTCATCGTCATCATCACTGATGACGTCATCAGTGACGTCACTGATGTCGTCACCGGCATCCGCATCGTCATCATCACTGATGACGTCACCGACATTCGCATCGTCATTGTCATCATCACTGGTGAAGTCATCAGTGACGTCAATAATGACGTCATCGGTATCCGCATCGTCATCGTCAATAATGACGTCATCAGTGACGTCAGTGATGACATCATCAGCATTGGGGGGTCACGTGACCTTGGGGGTCACGTGACCCCCCCTGGTCAGTTGAACCCACCCCCCCGTACCCTTCCCTCCTCCTCCTCAAGAGCTGCGCTCTAATTCGGCATTACAGTTAGTTGTAAACGGCTTTCAATTTTTTTTTATTTTATTTATGTGCCCTAAAGGCCCTCTCGGGCATTGCATGGCGTAGTATAATGAATTATACGAAACAAAAAAGTAACACTCAAAAAGGGAGGAAAAGAAAACGGGGCTGAACAAACCTAATAAGATGAGTCGTATCACACAACCAGAAAATATACGCCAACAAAAGTTCATAGGCTGTCGCACTGCGGCTAGAAGAGAGAGGTGTCTCATAGCCTCCTCTATACGGAGAAAGCCTGGCGCGTCGCGAGAAAAGGCGGCCGCCGTAAATGGGAAAGGAGGGGCGGAGAAACGGGAGCGGAGAGAACCTTATCCGCTAGCGCCACAAAAGAGCGAGCGGCCAAACGCAGAAACAATCTTTTTTTTCTCTCTCTTTTCTTGTCGCTATCGTGGAGAGGAGAAACTCAACGTCCACCCTTTCCCGTTTCTCCCTGCGCCCTTTCGAATCGCCGCGCCCGTTTCTCCCGGAGTACAAAAACGACGGTGACGAAAACACAAAAACAAGCGTGGTTCGGGGAGCGGCCGCTCATGACCCAAGCGCTCGCTGTCTAGGTCTGCCCTTTCTGCTCTGCGCTACCATATTAATCACCGTTGGGCGCGCTCCTCCTCTCCTTTTTCCTGCGGCCGCGCGCGCTATGGCTCCGTCGTCGATGTGCCAGGCTTTCTCCGCATAGAGGAGGCTATGGGTGTCTGAATAAGGCCGGAAAGGGGGGGCTGATACTTCACCGGGGCTTCGGCCGTCTCCCGGCAGGAGTTGGGATAAGCCCCCGCGCACGCGCAGTCGTGCACTGCGCGGCCTTGAAAGGCGTGTGCACGAATAAGAACGATTCCTCGTGCGCATCTCATGGTGTTTGCCAAAAAATGTAAGCAAACTTTTTGCAAAAAAAAAAAAAAAATGTGAACGAACCGTTGACACACTTGCTCCATGGCGAAGCGACGCCGTTCAGACGCCCATCTCTTCTTCCACCGCGGATGCTGGAAGCGGTAAGAAACTTCCAAAAACACTGTTTTGCAAAAAAAAAAAAAAAAAAAGTAAAAAGTAAAAACACATTTAATGGTTGTTTCATGATCTCTCTAATGATGTATTCCTTTCTAAAAAAAAAATAAAGACGTGTGACGCCAACTTGGGACCCGAGATCGAGACTGCCGACGACATGTCGAAACGGAAGGAAAACACGGCGGTCAAGTTCATGATCATGTACGACGACGCCGGTCTGCTCGCGAACAAGGTAAGGGCAGTTTCGTCCATGGTGCCCGTTACAAGCTAACAGCTATTGGTTCGAACCTTAGGACAAGCTAAGAAGCGTATGAAATGGCTGGTCCCGATCATCTTATCACCTCTCGGCTGCCAATCAGTACGGCCGTAACCGATAAGAGCTTCCAGGGTCCAATCAGGAAGCAAGGGAATAAGCTACACCCCGTTGGAAGCCTTGGTTGGATGCGATACCTCTCGCCCTCCTCATTAACCGAACGGGTTAATTAAAAAAATAAAAAAGCTAAAGAGCTTCTTAAAAAAATAAAACGAATTAGAGGTGAATTATACAGTATTATTATCCCGTGAATCTCAATATCACGTTCGTTGTCCCCGAAGATGTAGCTAATCGCAAGAAAACACAAGAAACCAAAACCTTTGATGAGTCGTTACGCCATACCCAGATCTTTGGGCCGCCAAGCGCGTGTCGCTCGTGTGGACAGCTCGTGCGCAATTGCAAGCTTCCCAGGTCTTTTCTTACCTTATCTGAAAATAGCAAGGGTGCGCGTGCACAGCTTTGATATGCGCTGAAGTTGCGCGAGAGCGGAGATTCCAAAACCTTTGGATGTGACGTCACGCTCCGGAAAGAGGGGCTTGAACGGTACTTTGAAAATTATATTCTGCAGCCTTTGTGCACCAAATTAAAAGAATTACCTTGATATTCGTGATCCTGGAGGCCAGATGAAGACGATTTAAGTGTTTCCACTCAAATACAGAACCGCTTCAGTTTCTCTTTAAATAAAAATCAAGGACTGACGTTTTCATCGGAAGGCAGTATATAGCTGCTGGGAGTACGCTCATGCAAATTACCATTTCCGAAAGTGTGCGCCATCTATACTCGTCACTTCAAGAAGAAAGAAAAAAGAAAGATGTTTTACGTATTATTCCTGCGCTGCACGAAATAGTTCTTACAAGATTTGCTTGTCGAAGAAAAAAGCAATGATTATGACTTCTGAAACGCGTGAACGTCTGGATAAATCGACAGGGGGGAAACTAGTGAGGTTCAACGAGGAGCCGGATTCTTTTTTGACTACTGTTCTTGAGGTGAATACAAATATAGTGGCTGCTGCGACAATCATTCGGTTCCCTCATAGTTTGATCAGCTACTCGTGCGTGAATTCGATAAGAGTGCAGGCGTCAGGGTCCGGTGAGGACTCGGACGCAATCACGCGCTTTGTGCTCAACAGACGGCGACGGCCCATATGTTACTCGATGAACCTTTGAAAGGTGTCTATTGTATTTGTCTTTACAGACGAAGCTCTTCTTGAGCAGTTACCTGAAGCCGACTTCCTCCGGAATCGCGGCGTTCAACGTCGAATACGACGACTTCTCTGGCGTGTGCGCCCAGGGGAGGTTTGCCAGACTCCGGGCAATCAAGGCAGCCATCGCGCCCCACGCGTGACTCGGTCACCGTCTTCAGGTTCCCACGGTCCACCGAAGAGAACAAAGACCGCTCGCGTACATAACAATTTGATTGTGTGTCTGTGTGTGTGTGTGGGGGGGGGGGGGGGACATTTTTATGACCAATGGAAACTTGCATCTCTATGAATTATGCGGCCTCAGAGTTTTCATTGAAGGATAACTGACAGTTTGCAAAAAGGCTCTTGGCGACGTGAGGTGCCACTCCGATGATTCCTGTAGGTATAATAAACATATTTAAAAAAAAAAAAAGTTATTTTCGAAGCGAGGAGCTGTTATAGTATTCAAAACTGCAGCCCACCTGTCGCCCACTCGCCAACGTCGGCGGTGGGGCGCACTGTGAAAGACGAGGAACGAAGAGTTTTACTATGGTGCGTAGAAGGCCTCTCTGTTGCGTCCCAAAAAGTGGTCCCTGAATTTCCGCACGACGACGGCATAGGAGTGTCAAATTGTCACCGGCCGCGATACTGGCAGCGTTCCAGCAGCGGACCAGCAGCTCTCACCAACCGCCAGGATCGCGACATCCGAGAGCGTGGCACTCCGGCTCCTATGACGTCATTCGTCATAGGAGCCGAAGTGCACCTATGACGACGCATGGGCAGTCTTGGACGCTAAACACACTAGTCGAAGACTTAAATATGTAGATGCCTATGTAGACCATGTGGACCGGGAGTTCCGTAAGCCCCCTCAGAGTCTCCGAGCCCGGGGTTCGGGGACTTTCGCTATGGTGTAAGCGCAGCAGAGCGCTAAAGTGGTAACTTTAGCGCACTGCTGCGCTTCCCATGAGCTCAAAGTCCTTCTAACAATTATGATCTTGTGGTTATCGGTGACGCCAAGCAACTTTCTGATTGAAATGGTACGTTTATTTTCACAAATTAAAATGTTAATGAACTCATCTTAGTTGATTTGCCGCTTATCATGACGATTAGGCCCCTATATGTCATGGGGTCCATATCACAAGAGCGAATGACATTTTAGCGAACGGCGACATTTGAGCGAATGGTCGTTTTAGCGAATAACGGGGGCGCGCGTTAACCCATCCGTCGCGCTGCGCTTTACGCCGCTTCGCGGCGACAGTCTGCGGCAAACTCATTACAAAAATATGAACTCACTTGGCCCACCCGAAAACGCCGCGCGTCCGACTGTTCGCTAAAGTGTCGTTCGATGAAACGTGGGCGTTCGCTAAAACGTCATTCGATCAAGTGAGTGCCTCCCATGTCATGTCCCCCTGATCATATAACCCGCAGGAAGAGACCGGAAAAGTCTGCACATGTGAGTTTGGCTTTCTTCTTTTTTCTGTAAAGCCTATTCTGCAGAGCCAATTCATCCCGTGCACCATTTCGCCCTGAAAAGATACTTTTCCTCTTAGCACGCGGCGGCATACTGCGGCGAAGCATAACAACATCGCGATGGATGACAACTCTGCGGATGTCGCTTCCCCGCAATACATCGGTGTGAGAGGAGAAGCGAACTTAACGGCGCAAAAACTAGCACAATCAGGTCTTCGAACAATACGAAACTCCATAGATGACTAGAATATTGTTGCAATCGCTGCGAATTTGACAGTGGAGTTGTTAAGGGCTGGTTTCCCCAGGATCGTGTCCCCCGCAAAGAAATTAATGGTATATTCGGCTGGTCGCTTTTCAGCCTCTTGGAGCGCTCTGAAAAGCCGGTGTGCATTCGGCTGGTCGATGCGAGACGCTCCAGGTATATTCATCTGGTTCTTTCGGAGCGCTCTCGAAGCTCCGAATCTCGCCGTCCTCCGAATCGGAGCAGTTTGAGGCGCTCTGACATGGAAGTGGGAGCGCGCGAGAGATCTGGCTGCCGACCGGTCACGTGACTCCAGCCATTCCGCCATTTTGCTTTTGTGTCGGAAGCGGACGGCGAGAACGCAGCTACTCCGCAGAAAAAGGTCTGCGAAAAACAGCCGTCAGTCTCGACGCCGTCACCGTTGTGTTGTGCTCCCCGATTTGAGGTGAAATGTCGTTGAAACGAAGACGTTTAATGTTAGTGGTGGCACCGTCAGTGCTGCTGGCGAAGCTAGCAGACAGCGACAACACCAGGAGCTCAGACGACGACGACGAGGGCCGTGTTTACGAAGCGAAGTTTGTCGAGTTGTTTGACGAACCTTGTACGATGCCCAAGGTCGTGGTCAAGGCCTATGTTTCTATAGTGCGAACCTACTCGGACAAAGCGGTAAAAACAAAAGTACGAGAGTTTTCAAGCTGTAATGTTGTCTTTTTTATATAGTTTCGCAGGAACTTCCGCTTGGCACGGCTGGCTTGCGATGTCCTTATCAGCGTCCGCGTTGACGGCTGCCATTTTTCAAGGATTGACGCTCACAAAAAGGAAGTTCTTTGAGCGATGCAAGTTCAGCGGCGTGATCGATAAATATTCTAAATACTCTTACACGATTCAACACGATTTTGTTTTCATTTGACTGCACCCCATATAAACGATTTGACTGAGCGAAAAGCCAAGCAAGCAACGGTAACAGGCTTAAGTTGAGCTAGTTCGTTCATACTTCAGGATGAGAGAGAGGGAGAGATATACTTTATTTTAAAGCAGCTACTTCAGGTGAGGCCAGCTGAACTAGAATAAACATACACATAAAGAAAAGATCATACACACCGTGGGACTAACAACTGATTTTCGTTTTCCTCCTCTTCTGCTACAAACCCAACTTGAGGGAAATATTCTCTTTTCTTCTTTTTTGCTTCCTACTTCAACGAAAATTTAACCCCAGAAGGAACATTTTTTTTCTCGTGCCGGCACGAGAGAAGTTGCACTAACGCAGTCAAATATAGCCAAAAAGTAAAATTGGTCGTTAGTTGTTCTTACAGCAGGAGGTTAGTCTGCCTGAACATGGCGACATTGTTACCTACTGTAGACAAGCAATTTCCAGTGCAGTACGAATGCTAGCCCGGGGTCTTTAACGTGCACCACGCAGTAGTGATACACGACCGCACGCCGGTACGATGCTCATCCAGATCAAAACAGGCAGAGGCGGGGATTGAACCCAGGATCCCTGTGTTCTGCAGCGCGAGCTTTTGCTCCACGTGCTCCGAGCTGGTGTGCGCTAGCCCACTCGGCGACTCTCCGAAATTCCCTGTAGGGAAAAAAGAAACGATGTAGTTTCAACTCAATCGCCACTGTTCGGCGACGTCACCGGGCACGTCACGGTGCAGTTCTCTTCCGATGTAGTTTGTTGGCGATGGAGATTAGGCTCCTCCCACCGGCGACGTCACGATGCAGTTTCTCCACCGCTTTTTCCAGCATAGAAAGACTGCACAGGGAAAAACTGCATTTCAACGTCATGTCACGTGACCCGAGAGAATAGCCAATCAGTGCCCAATGCAGTTTTCTACATAATTTAGTTTGCGTTCCAGCATAGATAGACTGGGTACGTAGTTGGGCTCTCATATATCACGTACAAACAAAAACCTTGGCGAGCTTAAATACCCTGTCAGTGTCCCTTCAATCTTGTGTTACATGACTTGAGCCGGAACGTGAACATGTGCCGTGACTTCTTGAGCACGATAACTGATCTTTGTAACGTCCTTCCCAAAGCGTGTTGGTTTGTTTCAAGCGCTGTAACAGGAAGACGAAAAAATAGATTTTAGAACATTTTGTCCCACAAGGTGGACCCCCGGGCTGCTTCTGCCCGCTCAGTACTTCTTCATTATAGAGAGGTGATGGCATCTTTCAACCACCTAGCATCTGACGAGCGGAATGACGCTAGGGCAAAGGCAAGTGGATTCGTGAACGTGTTGTAGAAATTTGACGCATAATAATGCGAAAGCATTAACTGCCCATGGGGCGAGCTGACGTCATCAGTTTGAAGCGCGAAAACGGTACCTATAGTTTCTGCGATCTCAATAGGAGCGAAGTAAAGCTGACGGATTTCGCCTTCGGTTCCATTGGATGACGGTGCAATTGTAGCCAAGACGTATAAAAGAACCAAGTGCAGACGTTGTGCACATAATGATGGCATTCAGTTAGGTAGTAAAAATTAGTATCGCACGACATTTCACAAAGCAAGACAAAAAAAAAAAAAAAAAACGCACAAAAAAGCGACGAAAAACGCTTTGCCAATGCGCGCGGAGGGGAGAGGGGAGCGTGAAGCTATCTTATGGCGGCCGCGTCAAGTAATTCCATGATATTTTTTTTTATCTCAATAAATGTTAGTTGCGTGTGCGCAAGTGTTTACGTCTTCTTGTCCGTCTTTTTTCGGCGCTTGTCTACGACCATGAGCCAACTGGCCCAAATTTCCTAAGATGGCAGCGCTGATGCGGTCCCGTTCACACAGCCAGCATAAAGGTAGGAGGTTCCTTTGCAATCTGCGAATCAGCAAGTGCCCTTGCTTTGCGAGCACATACCACGCGCGGAGGATCACTGATTCGCAGCCGACCATAGAGGTTCCTTAGCTAAAAGCTGCCACAAAGTTGGAGCCGAAGTTCACGGAGCGCGCCGATTAGACTATCACGTACTATCACGACGATGACTTCGCGCTTTTGTCGCCAGCATCCAATCGGCGCGCTTCGCGAACTTTCGTTTCCAACTTTGTGTCTGACGAGTTTGTCTTTTGTGCGCTAGTTAGTGTGTGTGATCTCTATGGCGCTAGCCCACTCGGTCACCGATCCCTCATCTAACCAAAGCGGGACCGAACTTTGAAATCATAGATGGCGCAAGCTGAACCTCAATTCAAGTGGTTGTCTGTTTAGCCCTGCAGTCCAGAACTCTGGTGCAGTCCCAGTCGTGTCTATCCATCCACCCATTCAGCCGCGGCAAATATGGCGGCGCCCAGGTTTTTGGCATGAAGTGTCGTGGTCCAAAGTTCTGGATACCGATTTCGCCGTTTGTTTCTATGACGCAAATCAGATAATCCAGGTGTCGCGAAATCGCTCAAGATCATTTCGGATACGCGATGGCTGCGTCTTTCAAGCCCGCATCGCTGTCAGGTGCGGTAGTCGCGTTCTTTTGTTTTCTTTCTGGTTCTCTGCCTGCCCGTCTGTCAAGATCGGCGACGCATTTAACCGATCTGTCCCCGTACAATTTTACCCATGCACAACTTGCTACTTCGCAATGAGGAATAAGTGTACGCGGAAAGGAAATTGTCTCCCTTTACGCATCGAACGTAGTCCACGCTTTCACGCCTTGCGCCGGACGAACTCTGTCCTCTGCGTCCCCCGATAGCGTGTTATCCGATCTTGCGAACCGTTATTGTGACGTACTGTTTCATTTTTTTGTTTGTTTTGTTTTTACCTGAGCGTTGGCACGTGAAGCACCGCTTGAACTCACACGCATGTACAAACGCACGAATTTTGTTAAAAGGCTCGCGTTTGACGCGACGCAGTTTTAGGATGAACTCGCGTTTCCGCAATCGTGTGCTTCCTGCGTGTTTTTGTAACGTTCACTCGTTGTTTTTAGTAACGGTCGACAATTTTCGGTTTTCATTTGCTGTCCCGATAATCCTTAACATAAAGTGTGCACAATAACGAAGGCAAACAGGTAGTATGTCCGTCAGTTGCATTAATGTAACGGTATGCCTTTCATCGATTGCTGATCGTATTAATCTCTTCGATGCATGCTGAGGTTCGCGGTTGCAGGCTGGCGCACATGTGCTGCGTTTATCTTATACCGTGATGCCTCGTCGAATGAAGCTCTACTCGTGACGTCATATCAAGTGGACCTTAGCGAATGGCGTTTCTATTTGTACACTGAGAAAGCTCTACCAGCAAATGCAAAAAGAAACAAAAACAACAAACGTGTGTCACCAGTGTGATATTTATTTTTGTGCAAGTGCAGCAAGTAGAATATTTCAAGCTTTGTTGCTTTTTTTTGTGTTTGTGAAAGAGTGTAGTGCCAGTTGATCTGCAACTGCTTGAACGGATGGGTGGTGTTTGGCGATTCTTCCATCTTTCTGAACTTCCCATTCCTTCTGCTTTGCTGTTTGAAGAACATTGCTCTTTCTGGGCATGTGCTCAGGCCAATGTAGGGTTGGAGGAGTTTCAAATCAATCAAATTTGAGGTTTCTACGTGCCAAACCGACGACGGGTATCTGGCGCGTCCCAGTGGAAGACTGAGGATTAGTTTCGACCACTTGGGGATCTTTTGCATTGTGCCATGCTTGCATTGGCACCTCACCATTGTCTTCTTCCTGAAGCAAAATGCTCTGAGAAACCGCAAAATGCTCTAAGAAACCAGCGCCGCTCACTCATTTCCACGGTCTGTGCTTTCAGAGGGGGTCGTAGCATTATCTGTGATCAAAGTGAGCATCGTCCTTGTTTAAATTGCGGTAGTAGTTCGTAGCCATTAACACGATGAAAACGACGGGACCTCTCTTTCAAATGCCCGTCCTCGTCGCCATCCTAACGAGACGCCCAAAGCGTTATTGAAGGAAGGTAGCTAGCACTAGAGGTGGGACAAATGAAGCTCCTTCCTACTGTTCTCTTGCTGTCAGTTACTGTCGCGTCTTCAGTTTGTGTCCGTAAAAGTGGAGATAGACGCTCCCACACTCGATGCTACGTGTTGCTTAGTGAAGCCCTGCTTTCGCGGGAAGGACGATCCCTTACTCAGTCATTGTTTAGTGAAACAGTACTTGCCGAGACGGCGGGACCCCCTGCAAAATCGGAAAACCAAGCTATGTGTCGCGTGTGACTCGTGATGTTAACACTCTATTCGTTTTGAAGATTCCAGCGACGAAACTGATGGAGACCACGAGCCAGCAAAGAAAGGGCATGCCCAAACAGCAAAGAAGTGGAACAACGAGCCCAACAGGAAGAAAAGGCAGCTATCACAAAATGGTAAGGGACGTTCCGGCGTTTGTAACAGACTTTGTAACTTTTGTCGCTGCGGCGGGATGCATTTAGCAGGATCTCGGTTGAGACGGGATTCGTTTTCGGTCGTAGCTAGGAAGACGAAATTTGTTCTTGCAGCCAGCTGCGATAGAATGCGACGTATCACGAATGAAACTTCAGTAAATATCCGAAATTGTTATATTTGGGAAATGTTTTTTAATTAAACCGAAAATGAGAATATCCTCCGACCTGCAGCCGCGAGCGGCGGCCATGAGAAACACGTGGTATGACGTCAATGGGGGTCTTGTAGAAGGATAGAAGGTTGCGCGAATACCTGCTCGATAAAAGGCAACTTTTCTATAAATCTTGTAGTTCCAACATAAATATAAATACGTCAAAAACCCGGTTTCATCGACAAAACTTTTAATACATGGAGTTTTAGTGGCGCCATCTATCCTCGGTCCACAAAACCGTCAGCTCTATCTGCTACTGTGAACAGCTGCCAGAAGCAAAGAGGGAGGGGGACAGAGCCGGACGGGTATGACCGGACCCGGATGAGACTTTCCTCCTTTCAGCATATTGTTCGCGCTGCGCCAGCACGTGGTCACGCGGTCGCGAGCGGATGAGTTCTCGCTGTTCACTGATGGCTCTAAAGAGAGAGCTTCACCGGAACCCCGCGCCACCCCCATTGACGTCACAGCGCACGTGACTCGGAAGATGGTGAAGGAGTTGAGAGGTGCCGAAAACCTCAATCTTTGTCCATTTTTAAAATAAAAACTGGGACATGCAGGCAAAAGCGGTTTTTTGTTCTTTACTTCAGAAAGGTGGAGGCACCAACTCCCAAATTATTTAAACAAAGCACTGAAATTGTTTTACAGCTCCTTTAAGGGGGGACACTACCTGGGAATGTCAACATTTGAACCGCTTACTCAATCGGCGTGATATTTTCGGGTGGTGTTTGCAGCCATATAGCAGGAGGGCATGCAAAGCTTCAGCCCTGTGAACCAATTTTATACCCCCAGAACGAAGTAAAGCATTGCTTTGAATGGAATCTGCTCAAGAAATCTATCGTTGAGAAAGAGAAATGATGCTGATAACCGTATATTTTTTTGGTGAAATGCATACTGGATGGAATACTTGTTGCCGGTTACTATGAAAAGAAATTTAAGAAAATATGCATTTTCAGGTAAAAGAATGGTTGAAAAAAACATTTTTTTTTTTACATTTACCAACTTTTGCAAATTACAGTTTTTCATAACAAAGGAACATGAAAATTCAAAATCAAAGTTCATAGTAAGCGGCTCCATAACGTTTCGGCATATAAGCCGCAAATATTAAGTCTCTCGATAGTTTCATACTGAAACGATAGTTTTATTAAAGGGACACTGACAGGGTATTTATGCTCGCCGAGGTTGTTAGTTGTACGTGACATATGAGGGCTCAACTACCCAGAACAGAATTTGCGGCTCGAAATTCGGTTTCTTTCCGCCCGAAAACCGCCGATCAAGAATTGGCCGGTTCGAGTCTCGCTCACTCTCTTTTCTGTGGTCACGGGCCGTTTTCTAAGGTATCGATGCGACCACCAAATTTAATCAAAGTCGTGGGTCACTGAAGGCACACACTCAATATTAAAAATAGAAAAAAATATGAAACCCATTTTTTGGGGCTTCTAAAAAGCTGTAAATACGTTGATTGAAAAAAAAAGTTCCACAGACAACCGGAAGCATTCTGTGCGTTCGTCGTTTCGCGTATCGTGGGACTCGCGGGGACGGCGATGGCAGCGGACGACGGGCGTAGGACCTCTATTTCAGAACTGTCGTTCGCGGTACCGGCGAATTCTGTCTACCGTTAAAAGAGAAATTTGGGACTGATCAAAAGAATTGGTATTCACCCCGTACGACACGCCCGGCCACCAAGCCGATTTGCACGAAGACGTCGCCGAGCCGTCGCTCCCTTCTCGTGGCTGAAGACAACGCTCGCGCAAACGTCAAGCACGACGTGTCTACTTCGAGTTGAATATGCACGCGTACGATTTCTTTACTAGGTGCGAATGTCCCCAAAGCGTGGTGCTTCCCGACTTCGACCCGGGAGTGCTTTTGCTAGAGAAAAATCGACAGCAAACTTTCAAACTTACAGTTTACCGGCTGAATTATTACTAAGGAAAGAGATCCACCAGAAACGAGATGCCCCAGTAGCTCAGTGGGAAAGACGTCCACTTCACACGCCGTAGGACCGGGTTCGATCCCCCGCGAGTTTTTTTTTTTTTTTTTTTTTGCAAACAATTTCCGATGTTTACATATATTTTTCTTTTTTTTACAATCATCACTGAAGAAACAAACAAAAAAATAACAAACAAATGTTGTGGACGATACTTCGCTGAATTAAACGGTATGGCATTTCCGTTTTGACACCTGCGAACTCAATGTAATCACCTTCCACAAAATGCAAGGAGCATATAAATCAGGTAGCATCCGCTTTCCGAGGTGCCCGTAAATGTTCTACAGGAATTGCAGCCAGCCATTGGTCCCGATCCCGTTGATCTTTCGACAATGCCACTTTTTTTCGGATGCAGGACATGTGAGCCAGCTCTTCACGCAACATCTTGGGTTTATTCTTTTCGGAGCCGATCATGGAAATTCACCACGGGCACTCACTACTCATCTCTAACTCCTCAATGTACAAAACAACTCATCTTGGAGTACATAACAACGAGCGGAACAAACATAACTGCAAAAGAATCGCACGGCAAGCAGTTCCCGCACGCCGCATCGCACGCCGCATGTCCTGTCGTCTGCTACCGGAAAGGAGAAAAAAAAACAAAAAAAAAAAACGCACGGTCGGGTGTAGCCACGTGACTTCCGCCAGTCACTCTCTTCTCTCCACTTCTCCGACCTCCGTCGGGTTTCGGTTTCGGTTTCGAGCAGTTGCGTCTTTTGGCTTTATTAAAGAAATACGCTACTCTGTTGCAAAATATTAATTGGGTAGTCCTCCGACACCATAATGAAGCGCCTGGCAAAAAATAAAAAAAATTTTTTGGGGGGTGTCAGTGTCCCTTTAAGGGAATATTTATGCCGAAAAGTGGATTGGAGAAAAAGGCATTAAAAGTGCTTGAACCTCTATCTTTTCTTTAACATTGGTGAACTGAAAATAATTATAAAAAAAAGAACTATGCACTATATACAAATGAAACTTTCTGGGAGTACTCTCTAGATGTTGGCAGATGTAAATAGGGCATTCTTCAAAATCGCCTTTTTTGCAATTTTTCTTTTTTTTTTTTCTGACTTCTAACTTCATGTTTTGCAAATAGGTGTGATAGGGCGCTTATTCGAACATTTCGATGGGTGGTGTTTATTGAGATTGAAGCTCAACACCTGTCTTCTTTCATTATGTTTTCGAAACCGTAAATCTAGATACATAGTTTCCTTTTTAAGAAAAATTGCTTGGAGGTGTTTGGGGCATTTCTTTTTAAAGAATGGTCCTTGCCTTTCTTTTTACTTGATATTTTTGGCTCTTTTGTTAGCCTTTTCAGCATCAGCATGGGCTCTAGATTTGTTCTTGTCTTGTCATGTTTCTTTTCATTATTAAAGGGTTGTTTACCTATGTCCTTTTATTTTTAATGCTTGTTACCTCTTTGAATAATTAGTAGTAGGTGTGTATATAACTAGATAAGTGAACAAGTAATACATAGCAATATATTTATCACACGCAAACATACATGCGTGTCGCTTATTAGCATTACAACCCTCTTTCAAATGAGCGTGCTGAATTTGAATACCAATCCAAATGAAATAAGGACGTCCTGCCTTTGCACGTATTAACCCTCTTCAGAACTGTCCAGAAATTTATTTGAGCCATCACTTTTGTGCCCTTTAGAGTCCAGCGATACGGATTCGGAGCTTCATTCTCTGAAAAGGGTGAAAGGACCATCACAGAATGGTAAGGAATAAATCTCTCTTTGTTGTAATGATAAGGAATAAATCTCTCTTTGTTGTATCCACAGTAAAATTATCTTCAACTTTAAAAATTGACCAATTTTGCAACATATACTATGTTTCAAAAGTAGAAACATGATCAATTTTTAACCTATGGGCACGAAAGTTGGCAAATTTTCAAACCTTTCTTATTCTTTCGCTTGATTTTTTAACTTCAGGTTTGGAAAAGATTAGCAGCATCTCTAATAACAAGTCATTGAACACATAGGAAATGAGTCAGGACTTCGTCAAACAGAGCCTCGTTATGCTTTGTTAAACGGGCATTTTCAAAGTAAAACCATTCGTTGTGGAGAAAATGAAACCCCGAGTAAATTCACCAACTGTTTAGAGCACCCCTATACAAGTGTTTTACATTTATTTCTATTTATTTTTTTTCTGCTTGGGTTAAGATGGTTGACATCAGCTAAGCAGAAAGCTCAATTGATTCAATTCTCTTGTTCCAACAAACAATATGGACTGCATAATCTTGGAACATTGATTGACTTTAGTGGATGCTTCTCCAGCTGAGCAGAGCAGTTATATTGAAGTTTTGACCACTGTGGTCAGAACCACTTTTTGTGGTTTTTACAACAGAAGCAGCATTTGGACAACCAGATGCTGTTTTTGTGTCAGGAAACATGTGGTTTAATAAAAAAAGTTAAAAGAGCAGTCTTTAGTGAACTTGCAGTCATTTAGTGCTCTACCTAGAGCATAGAAAGAATTGAAGCCTACAGTTTGACAATTTATGATTGACAGCATCAATTTCTGGTTTTTGCAGATGGCTACAAGAGACCAAATGCCCTGCCAAAGTCAAGAAAGGAGGGTGACAGTTTTGGTAAGGGCAGTAAGTGGTTCTGACATCTTCTTGGGCAAAGTGAATTTGCCCTTTATGGTGTCATGTTCATTTAATGGATAATTACCAGATCTTAACAGTATGAATTACGGATACAATACTACAAATTACAACTCGATACAAGTACACTGCTACAAGCAGCCACAATAATGTAAGTACTGTGGGTGGCATTGGCTGCAGTTGGACGAAAGTGTGCCATCCTAAGAGCGAAAAGTGAAAGTTAGCTAGGTGGCGCAAGCTGGCACCCGATTTGAGAGGTTCAACCGTGTCTGTCCATTCAGTCATCCAGCCGCTGCAAATAGGACAATGCCCGGATTTTTGGCAGGGAGTGTCGCATTTCAAAGTTATGGATCCCATTTTTGTTTGTTTCTGCTATGAACATCAGATCACTCTGAGTTCTTGAACCCACTCATAAAGCTGTTGCATATGCGATGGCTTTATTTTTCAAACTTGCAGGTGCATTCTTTAGTTGTTTTTTTCTGGTTCTTCGCTTGTCAGTAAAAATTGTTAACGCATTAAGCCAATCTCTTCCGAACGCTTTTACAGTTATATAAAACTTGCCACTTGCCATAACAAAGCACATGTGTTCTTTATACTTGTACACATGCATCCATGTGTGCAATTATAAAGTAGTATCCATTAATGCCTCCAACATTATCTGTGCTTTCAAGCCAGGCACTATATGAAAGATGTTTGAGTGCAATGACCTATAACTTCCTATTCATTCTTGTGAACTGTTATCGTGAGAAACTGATCTTTTTATCTGGGTGTTTGCATGTGAGGCAGTGCTCAAATTTACATACAGGTATAAACACTCGCATGCATTTTATCAAACGACACTACTCTTCTATTTTTCAAGTGACAGTTTTTTTAGCAGCTCGTGCTGCTACAATTGTGTACTATGTATTGTTTTTTGCAGTATTCACCTGTTTGTTCAATTAATGTTTGATGACTTCCAGTTTCTCCTTTCACAGTTGTCTTAACCTGTTCGGTTCATTTCTATAAAAGTTCAGACAAAAACTGTTACACTTGATGTAATCAAGCAGTTCTTTGGGGGAAACAGCAGTCCTTCGCTGAATTTTCATCCAGTGAAACAGTATTTGTTGTGATGATCTCAGCCCGACAAAAACTGAAAGATTAAGTTATGTGTTACATGTTGTGGGCAATATGTTGTGTTGTACTGATGTTCGTTAAATTCATTTGAAAGGTTTTGGCCGGGAGATGGATGGCGACCATGAGCCAGCAAAGAGGTACAACAATGAACTTAGCAGAAAGAGAAGACTGCCCCCACAAACCGGTAATAGACATTTTCGTGTTCGTTGGAGCTCTCATGACCATGCCTCCGTAGCCCTAGGCATGTGTTAGAATCTAGGTAGAGACAGGATTACAGTGTAAGTTACAGACTTTGACAGTGATGAAGCTTTTGGTCTGTTGTAAAAGAGGTATGCAGAATGCAGATGCTCTTATTACAGACTTTGACGTGGACTATGACTGGAGTCTGTACTAGCCATTGAGACTCGTGAAATGTGAACGGATATTAGAAAAGAACTGGTGTATTGAAACTCGTGAACTTTGAAGGGTAGTGAATATTTTACTGAGCTTTTACTGGCGATCGTCATCACTGTGCTCTTTTCGTTGCAACCGCACCAAAGTTGAGTAGCGTCCGGAATACTGACTGCTGTCAAAGGGTCTGCTATGATAGAGTAGTGAACTACTTACAGGCTCCCTAATATATTCCATTCTATCAGAATGTACGTTCTAACAGAATATATAATAAGCGAAGTTGGCTCAATAACACATATACGGAGGCCAACCGAACATCACAAATCATTATGTTACAACCGAATGTCTGCTGTAACGCGGTTGTACAGTGGAATCTCGTTAATTCAAACTCGCAGATAATTGAAACTGACATGCAGGTCCCGTCCTATGTGTTTCTAGGGACAAAGCTACCTGTAATTCAAAAGGAGGAGCTGTATCCCCATCCTGATTCATAATTTCATATATTTTCTGGTTTTGTTCGGAACCGTAGACGTTTTAAACGTGCTCGTTTCTTTTTGAAGGAATGATTGACTCGAAGAAACTTTTGGGTTGTCTGGAATCCTCAACTGCCAAGCTGCTTTTTAATGCTGCTCCAGAGATTTTCTTAATCTCTTTGAAGTTTTGTTTACGGCGATAGCTGTTGTGGGCTCTGTCCCCCACTGGAAATGATGCCCGTTGTTGACATTGTTGTTGCAGTTGTTGACGTAGTAGTTGTCGTTGATGTTGTAGTTGGTGATGTAGGGCGTCCGTTGTCGAGGTTGCAGAATCCTCGAAGAAGATTGCTTGCAGGAATCGAACCTGGGTCCGCTGCGTGCGAAGTGGAGGCGTTATTACTGAGCTGCGCCGCAGCGTTAACACGACGCTTTAAACTTAGGCTTTTTATGATACCCGACTCTGTAGAAAAAAAATAAGAAGATATAGTTGATAACAAGATGTAGCACCGCCAATGCCAAGAGCTCATGCCAGGGACACATTTCACGCACTCCAGAACAAAAATAAGAAACAAAGGCGTTCGGAGGAGAGTCGAGAGGCATTGTCGACTGGCACGAACAGAGAGCGAATGCCGAACACCAGCCAGTGCGTTCCGAATGCCGGCCAGCGCGCGTGAAATAGAATACAGAGTTTTAACTGAATCTTCATGTTGTTTGCTTGCATTTTCTCTGTCGTCCGCTACCGGTCGGACGTCTATTTTGTTCGGAACGCTTTTGTTCGCAGACCTCACGGCGCGTGAACGCGACGCCGAGGCCCAACGAATTCGCCGTGACTTGTCGCAGCTGTCGCTGCGACTGTTCTGTGGGTTAACGCAGGACTGCTTAATTCTTTGATTTTCTTCGAGAATATTTTATATTTTCTTTCTTACCTCTTTCGAGTTTCTGGTTGTTTTACTAGCCTTTTAGGCGAGCAGGTACAAGTAGGCGATGCAAGTGGTGTGGGAAGGCGATTCCAATCGAGCGATGTCGTGGGTAGGAAAGATTGATTGAAACGTGTGGACTGACGGGGGGGGACACCTACTTTATTTTGATGAGTGACATGGGTGGAGATTTAAGAGAAGCTGATGCAGTGTCGGGTTATGGTGGCGGGTCTTATGTAATAAATACGGGTGGGACACTTTCCTGAAAAGTGTGAAGTCGGGCAAATCTAAGGTTTGTTTCATTGCTGATACGCTAAATGCACGGTGATTGTTATGAGATAAGAAACGGGCTGAACAATTTTGAATGAAATTTAGTGATGTTGCAATAATGCAATTCTAGTGAGAATGTTTCAATTTAAGCAAAGGGGATAAAACCTGCAGGTAGGTAAGCCCTTTAATGTAGTTTTCAGGATTGAGAACTGCTCTACACGGAGCATATCCGTGAACACAGAGTGAAGCGTTGCATCATGGCCGACGCCATCGCTTTCTGGCTTTTGCAGATGTGTACAAAGAACCGAATGCAGTGCCAAAGTCGAGGAGTGAGAGCGACGGTTCCAGTAAAGGCAGTAAGTCACACCAGCTCCGTTTTCCTCTCAAGCGTACTGAATTCGCCTCGTCACGTTTGTGGAAAAGGTGCGCACCAGTTTTGCACGGTATGAATTACTGAACCGGAAAGAACATCACGATTCAACAGGAATTCCCAACTTACGGAAAAGGGGGTAGAATATGTTTCGGCGTGTGAGCACGAAAACTTTGGAAACGAAGAAGACCGAACCTATTAGTACTACAGTATAGTCCCTCTATTGTAAACCCAGGTTCTTGGGAAACATCTTTATAAATTTTACAGGCATACTTCATCTTTGGTTCACCATATCCGCGCCTTCGCTTTATTTTTTTTTCTGTACGAAATTTGTACTCCAATATTGGTTTATTTATTTGGTTCCTTGGGACGAAACGTTGGTCTTGTGTATGGTTCAACCGGACGGTCACCATAAGGAGACCAGCCAACCTAGCCCTAGAAAATAAATTCTCGAGGGAGCGGAACTTTGGCAGCCGTAAGTCTCGCATGAGCTCCGGCAATACAGCCTTCGTGGCTGAAAGGTCTGGGGAAAGCAAGTTTCTAGATGCCCACGGGACCACACGCAGTACCAGAGGAACAGTACCTACTGCCGTAAATTGGGTACATTGACCACATTAAAAAACGCTCGTAACCTTAAGATCAATAGTCCCCGACAGTAGGAAAACTGCAGGAGGTCTTCTTTTGGTTGTACTGCTTCGGCCTCTCGCGAGCTCTGAATGTGCACGTGTAGCCAAAGCATGGCAAAAGACGCCAAGTGCGTGCCAGAGGCCAGGCACCCAAAAGAAACGCCCCTCCCTTCACATCCTGTCGGTTGCTATGCGGAGAGCAAGTCGTCTGCTTCTTGCGCAGGATTTGCGGTGATGTCAGAACGACGCCGAGTTTTAATTGGCTTCAATTGAAAGGATAGTGGGTAGACCTCAATATGTACTAGATGCCTTGAGCTTTACCCACTATTTATTCAAACAGCCAATAAGAGCTCGGTGTTCTGACATCATCGCAACACCGGAGCAAGGAGCAGACGAACTTGCTCTCCGCATAGGAAGCTCAATGGGAGCCGTTCTCTAAAGTCTCCGGCGACGTCCTGTTGCAACAGGTCCCACCAAGTTCTCGCACTTCATGCCCAACTCCAGCGAGGACGACGACGAAGACGCCCGGAACAGCGAAGACGGAGGAGATGCCAGCAACCAGATCGGTGAGACCCGTTTTGCAGTTTTGCCCGTGCCTGGCTGCGGCGACCAATGGTGGCATCCCGCGGGAACTCCGACGTTTTTTTTAGCTACCCGAAACTAAACACGTTTTCTAAATATAGCTAGGCTTTACTCTTCCCGGCATTCTACATATCTCTCATATCTAACCTCGAGATAGCTGTTGAGAAAACAGGAAATATGTAGAGGCGATGCCAAAACCAACGTTTGAATTTCTCCGCACCCTCCGGCGGTGAGACGTCGCACGTCGTATGACTTGCAAGTTGATTGGGCAGCCTAGAAAACATATTTTGCGCTCAATATTTTATGCGCATCTTTTCGTTTTGTTAGCATGAGCTTAACCAGCATTCATCTCAAGCCACCAGATTTCTGGAAACCCTTTGGGAACAAGCTGTACTGCCTCCATTTTGCCCCATGTTTCATCTGGCGTCACATTTTCAGTGTGGCCAGTAGAGTGTCTCTGCCTCTCAGTCTAAATTTGAAACTTAAGTACCATATTTGCACGAATATAATGCGAAGGCAGGTTTTGATGCCTTCAAAAAGAAAAAAAAAAATATTACTATTATAACGTGAACTGAGGCCGCGTCAATTTCTCGCACTCGGGGGCATAGCAGATGTGAAAAGTCAATGGAAATAGAAGAAATATCAGTTTGTTTTGACTGCATTCATCCTCACTGCTCAGGTCCTCCCGTTTACAATCCACTTGGCGACTACGCAGATAAGCAGCAGCACGGCACCTGCTTGTCTGGTAGTTCCTTTTTCTTCCGTGCGAGCTTCTCGGCAGCCCACAATCCAAGCCAGGCTCGAAGCAGAAGCACCAACACACCAACACCAGATCACTCTGGAGCAGAAACTAAACAATGCGCAGGCAGAAAAAAAGACTGCTGAATCCGATACACGATCACACTTCTTGTTCTGGTAATAGGGAGTTTTAGAATAGCGCACGCTAAAGCGTTGCGTATGCAGAGAATAGCGTCGTCGCCACTGCGCATGCTCCGAACACAAACCAGGTTTTTGTGCTTTCCGTGCGCAATTTTAGCGTGCGCTATTTCTCGGAAATAGCGTGCGTACGCAAAGAGTTTTTGCGCTTCTCTAAGGAGGATTCGTGGGATTTGTGATGTTAAGTTGGCTAAAGCCAAGACGAGCAGAGTTAAAAAAATGGCGGCTTCCAGGATTATGTCGGCGGCTGCTTTGGCGGCATCGTGAGTGCGACGTCGGCGGCATCCTCGCGATTGCGATTTTCAATACGGGACGACATTGTACTCGGTTTGGCAACGATCACCGGCAACTTGATGCTTGCGACGCGCGAACATTTCTCGGCGAAGGTACGATGTGCGAAGGTCAGTACACGAGACCTCTCTTGCCGAGGCGACGCAAGCGGACACGACCGGTCAACCGCTCGTGTTGCATTCTTATGTTTAAACAAATCTGAAATGCTACTCTGGACCAAAAAAACCTGTTTTTTTTCTAAAGTTACAGCATTTCGTGCGTGAAATAAAAAGTGTTACTGTGTCTTGGTGGCGTCGCAGGCGCGAGATGCTTGGGCTTTTGCGTCGGGACAGAGAAACGCTATTTTACAACTCTTGCTTCGCGTGCGCTAATACAAGCGCTAAATTTAGCGCTAGCGTGCACTAAAATTGGATACGTTATTCTAAAACTCCCTAATGCCTCGTGTTGCACGATTGTGTAATTGCGGTCGGTGGTCTTGGCTTGGCTTGTGTTGACTTGACTTAGCCCGGCTTGGCTTGGCTCGAATTGGCCGGTGCCCGCATGGCGCGCACGCGTGCGGCGTGCGCGCGTTGTAAAAACACAAAAGCGATAAAAATGCTTTTTTTATGTTTTCTATTCGCCCCTTCACGTGGCCCAATGGCTAGAAAATGCCCCTCCACACCCCCACTTCTTTTTCCATTGGATCTTTTGCATTGAGCCGGAGGGATGACTTTCTCCTCTGGCTTTCTCCAGACTCGCGCGCCTCGTGGCTGAACTCGATTCCGAATATAACGCGAGGTGCGTTTTGGAGCACGTAACTTCGAAAAAGACTCGCGTTATGTTCGTGCAAATACGGTAACTTCAAGGGAGACAGACGACGCGGATCTTCAGAGTTGCCCTTGAAGACGTTTGTAGCGCGTGTTCTTCAAATGGTGAAATATTTTATTGCTCTTTTGTCGGCACGCGCTTTTCCCAAATTCAGATTTGACTGGAATATCCAGTCATAGTTCTCAGTCATTTGAGACATTGAAAAGTATTAGTACTATACCTACAGTATGTACTTTTGGGGAGTGTGAGTACCTTTTAACTTCGAAGTTTGTTTGTTGCTTGTTTCATGTTTTTGAAAGTGGTCTTGTTTTCTCTCCGACCAGCTTCTGGAAACTACAGCACCGCTTCAAAGAAGATGATGGCAAGTTGTCTGTTCCTTCATTTATTTTATTTTGCCACATGTCGTGGAAAAGAGTCAGAAGTGCCGCAGGATAGTGAGGGAGCGTATGTGGCGACTTTGTGACTACGACATGTGACCACGAGAAGCGATTCAACATTACAAAAGGATTCGAAAGCAAGGCAGAAGCTCAACGGAGACCATCCACTCATGAATGGTCTGCATTGAGTAGAATTTAAACTTTTAAACGCATATAATCCTCAAAATGTGGTACATACATACTTTACCCGTGTGATCAAGGTCAATAGGGGTTTCCCTCTGTGCCTCTTGCAGCAAATAATGGGGTACACGAAGGGCAAGGGTCTGGGCAAGCACAACCAGGGCATGAAAGACATCATCCATACCTCCAAGCAGCGGGGTCGCCGGGGTCTTGGCCTCTCCATGGATGGCCTGGAGCCCAGCACGGATGTCACCTGGGATTTCGAGAAGGAGGAGGTGAATACTCTCTTTTTCCTGGTGTGCTGAAAACTGTAAAGGCTCGGAGAGTGCAGGCATCATGTTTTTGACTCGAAATCGAATATACTAAATATTCGAATTCTACTGCAAGTTGAATTTTAATATTCAGAGCTTGAATGTGAATCGAATTTTAATATTCACACGTGACAGCAAATCAAGCTAGAACGTTCAAATTGGACGGAGAATCAAAATAGAATATTCACATTTGACCGTGAGTCAAATTAGAATGTTAAAACTTAACTGCGAATCAAACTCTAATATTGAGTGCAAAACGAATTTCGATATGCAGACAACTAAAAATAAAATTTGAATATTCAAATTTGACTTTGAGTTGAATTTGAATATTCAGATTTGACTTTGAGTTGAATTTTAATACTGTAAACGACTTAATTTTTGCGAGGACCTAATTTTCACGGATTTTGTGAATTGCCCTCAATTCGCGAAAAATAGGTGCTGAAAACAATTCCGGTAAAATGTAAACACATTGGAATCTATATTGAGATCCCATGGCTTTCGCGAAAATTGGGACCCGCGAATTATTCAAAAACTTCAGCTCTGACCTAAATCGCGAAATATTGAGCCCGCAAAAAATAAGTCGTTTACAGTATTCAGATTTGACTGCAAATTGAATTTGAATATTCCAGTTTGACTAAATTAAATTTAAATATTCAGATTTAACTTCAAATTGAATTTGGATATTAAAATTCGACTGCAAATGAATCATTAACTGGGAATCAAACACTAATCTTCAAATATGATTGTGAATAAAATTTGAATATTTAAATTTAACTGCAAATTTAATTTGAACATTCATATTTAATTATAAATTGAAGTTGTAAATATTAAAATTCGACTGCTAATCGAATTTGAATGTTCAAACTTGTCTGCAAATCAAATTAGTAGAATATTTTCGAATATGAATATTTTACATTTTATGCGAATCGAGCATGGATATTGTAAGAAATGACGACTGTAAACCATTCCTACTTTAACACCCGTTGAAGTAGAAACAGTTTCGTGAAAAATCCGCACCACGTGAAGAGGCCTACGAGGCCACTGCATTATTTTGTCTTTTCGGCGTAGAAAAACATCTTCGATTACAGAATGCTCTCCTCAAGTTGTTTTTCGTTTGCGGCTTTGTAGATTGACGTCAGGGAGTATTTGGATTGGATGCCCCAGTGCACCGAGGAGCCGCCTGACATCAAGGAGCTTCGGTCGTGGGTTCAGGAAGGGAAGGTGGGTCTTCCTCATGCCATTGTGTCTAGAATGCTTCTTCGATTGGTGTCTCTGTCATCCTATACCACCCTTAAATCAAAAGGGGTCGCAAAGTGGCAACAAATGGCCATGTCAGCCAAAGTTGATCTCAGATTGGGTCTCCTTTGTCGCGGTTAGGCATGTAGTCTTTAATCATTTCTGTGCCGCGCTGTTTTTTTTTTTTGCACTCAGAAAAAGCTTAGCATCGACGACGAGACGCTGTTCTGCGATCCTGAGGTCCTCAAGAACGTCCTCGACTCCAAGGTAGTTCCGGGCTAGCGTTTTCGAAACATTGGGAGAGGGGAGGGGGGGCGAGGAAAACTTGCCGGTCATAAACCTTGGGGTCTCGATCTCATTGCAGAACATCTTCGACAGGCTCGAGCCGGAGGAGATGCGGAGAGCGCGCACGCGTTCTAATCCCTTCGAAACTATCCGGGGGGGCATCTTCCTGAACAGGCAAGTGCTAGCCTCGAATCTCGATTTTTCGTTTTTGGGTGCAGCGGCACCAAAAGACCCGACCTGCCCTCGAGCAAATCGACGGTGTCTTTCGGCGACGTACATACAAAGTCCGATCGAGCGAAGGAAACCCGACTTTTCGACCCGCATAAATGAACTGCGATGCAGAGAGCTCAAACTCCGTGAGAATGTGACGTGTGCTCAATGATGAGGTGAGAAAGGCAAAGAGGAGCTTCAATCCAGTTTCTGGCGCGAACTCCCTAACTTCGACAACGCTCGAACGTCTTGCGCACCTCTAGCACGCACGTGCAGCCGAAGCATGGCAGAAGGCACGGAGCTTGTGCTGGGGGCCGTGCAGGGTTCGTAAGACGCACCCTGCTGTTCTTGCTCTGTCAGTGACTGTGGCAGTGGTGATAGAATCAGAAAGTTTGTGTCCATGACGTCACCTGGATCAAAAGATACAAAAAGAAGAATTGGGGCAGAACCAACTATGTTGTTGTCTAATGAAGCAATTAGCTGCGGACAGAATTGAAAAGGCCGCTGGCGGTCACATGTCGGTTTTCTCGCTAAATTTAGCGGGTAAACTAAATTTGTGTGTAGATCACGTGGCGTCGTGCCACGTATGGTAATTTTTATCGCTAAATTTAGCGGAGAAAGTGAATTGGTGTTGAGGTCACGTGACGTAATTTTCCCGCAAAACCTCGTGGGGAAACAACTTCTGTGTAGGTCACATGATATAGAGTGATCTGACGTCATTTTTCGCGCTAAATTTAGCGGGGAAAATGAACAGCCACGTACATCAATGTGGCCTGAAGATGCCAAGAAAGCTTAATCGCTTTAAGAAAACAAATTTGTCCATGAGCCAAGGGTCACAAATTCATTGAACCAACCAATTAGATTATGGGTTCCTGTGGCGTTTATTTCAGTGAAAAGGAAGTTGTCAAAAAGAAAAATGCTCGCTAACAAGTAGTATCTTTCCCCGAAATAAATGCTAGAGGCGCCCAGCGTGTCGTTTCCTGGGTCGATGAACACTATTCCTAGAGGTGTGTGTCGGCTCATGGAGAAGTTTGGTCATCTTTTGACTTGGGTAAAGTCATCCTCTTCAAACTAGTTAAAAAAAAGTTTTCTTTTCTTGCACTCTTTTTTTTCCAAAAAACTTACATTCACGAAATTTGAGCATGATAAAAGCACCACCCGAAGACATCTTTGCAAAAAGCTTAATTGCACTCCGTTCATTGGTTTATTTGTACAAAATTCTTTTATGCCCGAATAGCTCTCGGAAGCACACCGTATGTTCTGACGAAGTGACTTTTCAGGAGAATGGACTAACATTTCGTGTCTCCCCCGCCGGTTTCAGGGCGGCGATGAAGATGGCCAACATCGACTGCGCCTTCGACTTCATGTTCACTAACCCCGTGGACAGCGAAGGGGTAAGAAGAGTGTGCACCACTTTTATGAAAACTTTATCGGGAATTGTGTTAGCTTACCTCAAGCGTCTTCTTCTGTATCCTCGGTGTAATGACGAGACCTGCAGCCTACAGAATGCCAAACAGAACAGAACCGTTTATTGAGGACGCCATACTTTATATACACACACAGGGACACCATGTTGCCAACCGAGCATCTGAAACCGAAACTGGACAATTTCAATAATTCACACAATACACAACACTCGGGTGTCTTCGAGCTATGCATATGTGCAATGTTTGTTTGTCTTGACGGTCTGTCCATATTTACTTGCTTTCCATCCTTGTATGAAGCCTTGCTTGGGGGCCGGCACTTTGTCTCTGCACCCTCTCATTCTATGTATTACCACGGGGGACACTTTCAAGCGCATTACGGGCGGGTTTGGCAAACTAGAAGTGAACAGAAGCTACAAAACTTGACTTTTGATGATACTTTGTTTTTTTAAAGCGTAAAGGCTGGTTCGCACGCTTGCAGCCGCTTATGACCGAATGCCTTAAAACATCTTAGGATCTCTCGGGTAGCCAAGGAGCACTTAGCATTTTCCTATTTCATATTTCTTTCGTGCATCATTCTTTCTTTTTTGGCTCGAATAACTTTTGACAATGTTATGGTGGACTATTTCTCATAGATAGTATGTACATTTGATCTTGCAAAATCCGCAGAACCTTCGCCCACTGAAATGCAGTTCCGGGGTCACTTCATAGATGGTGGCAGCATGCCAGTTTGCACTTTCTCGTCGTAAGAAATCGCAAGAACTCGCTCGTAAGCTGTCGCAAGTGTGTGAACGTGAACTTGAATTCAAACAAACGTTAAAAGCTGTATTGCAGAGACCTTGTAAAATTATGCTTCTTAAGTTTTATTTCAATCTTATTAGTAGGAGCATCGTAATAGCCAGTTAAAATTTCGACGTAGACCCGCAATGCAGTGGTGTCACTTGGAGGGGGGGGGGGGGGGGGGGGTGATGATGATGATGATAGGTGGACTGCCCCAATTGCAGTTCTCAGGGAGGGTGCAGCTGGGCAGGGAAAGTGTGGGTGGGGGGGGGGGGGTGTTGCCACTGACCCTAGTGACTGCTGCAACGTGTAGGAAAGCGTGAGAGTGGAGAGAAAAACTAGCAAAAGTGATGTCATCAGCGGGTTTAGATGACCCGTTAGCTGACTCGGGGATGCCGTCAATGACGTCATGACACTGGACAGGCGAGAAGACAGAGAGGATTGCCGCGTACCCCGACGGCAATCGCTGCGCATAATTTTTCATATAAATATGGTTTACATTTACTTTTGCCCAAGTTAAATGCGGTAACCAAATGCACAGGACCAAAAGCCATAGAAGTTTGCTCCCAACTCTTATTTCTTGAAAAGTGCATCAACTTCCATTTAAGGGCTTGACTTTAGTGCACAGTGCAAGATACTATATTTTCGCGCATATTACCCGCCCCTGCATATAACCCTCACCCCCAACCTATTACTCCCAGAAGCACAAAAGAATTCCTCGCATATTGCCCAATCTAGCTACTCAAAGTAATGTCCAGATCTCGCTAAAAACCATATCTTTATTTTGAATACACTCATGGCGGTGCCTCGTCGCAGATGGCGTCGTCATCCGTGTTGTCGAGGCAATTTCTAATGCTGTACTTTTTGAAGCTGTTCTCCACCATTTCGTCTAGAAAAGTCGCGGTAACGCGACTTTTGGATTGTCGACATGATGTGACCGCAACCTCTTCTTTCCTCTATTAACTTCGCTATCGTTTCTTCAAGGTCGGGGTGGGCATTAGTCTTGGGAATGCAAAACAATCTGTGGTCATGGCTTGCAGTTTGCGGTTTCTCATTTTTCCTCCATTCTCGCACGCACGATTCGTGAACGTCGTAGCTGTCGTAGTTCCAGCTCGTTACTTGATTTCCGATCTCTCTGGCAATGAACTCTTCGACATCATGGCATGGCCATTGATTTCTTGGAGCTTGCAAAAACAAAACAAAAGTGGCTACCCGAAAAAAAAAAAAAAAAGAAGGTGGGGAGAAGGAACTTGTGAAAAGTAGCTTTTTAGGAGGGAATGGAGAAGAGGGACTCTGGAGAATCTATCCCTTCGACTTTGTGCGAGTTGCCGCAAAGCTACACTGCCTACCAAAATTTGTGTGTAACCCACATCCCAACTACGCCTTCAATTTTCTTTAAATATTGATGCTGGTTACGTGAGAAAATACGGTACTCTTTAGGCGAGGGCGCGTAGCACTGCGAATGCTGCGACGCAGTCGACCAGATAAAGTCCTATTGGTGCTCATTTGTGTAGCCTATGCCAACAGCTTTTCCGCCAACTAAGCAGTGCAACTAAAAGAAAAAGGAAAACAAAAAGTGTCTTGTTGCCGCGACACTTGGGTTCACGCACTTTCCGCTCGGCGCGTCTGCTCTGACTTCAAAGGATCCTGGCTTGAATGCTGCTCTGGCAATCTCTCTGCTTCAGTGCGCTCATAAAGCTGTTCTTGCCGCCGTTGAGACACAAAACTATGATTAGTTATGAAAACACGCGTAACGCCAGCGCTAAAATTTACCTGACACAATATACTTCCTGAAAATGACTTTAAAAACAAGCATGTCTCCTATAGAGACGCATGAGACGCTGGTCCCGTGACAGCCCACCATTAGCTGCTTATCAAAGAGCCACCTGGCGGCACCGCTTGCAACCACGTCGAGGCGAGGACTTTATCTGGCTGCTGCGACGCATGCGCCGTACACACTTGTATATCTTAACACTGTGGTTTAGTGTGAAGGGTGCTGCACGTTGGCAGAAGTCACTGGTGGGTCCGGACGAGCTGCTGTACTTTGCGGATGTGTGCGCGGGCCCTGGCGGCTTCTCGGAGTACGTGCTGTGGCGCAAGGGCTGGCAGGCCAAGGGCTTTGGCTTCACGCTGAGGGGCCCCAACGACTTCAAGCTGGAGGAGTTCTTTGCGGGACCCCCGGACACCTTTGAGCCCCACTACGGTAGGCGCTCAGTCTTTTTTTAAAGCGTGAAGTGACTTTTAACGGGACCCCTCAATCTCAAAGTTTTGTCCATCCATCCGTCTCTGCATTTCCTGCTAAATCTGCAGAGAAATTGAGGTCGCATGATTTGACGTGACGAGACCTATATACAGTAAAACCTCATTATAACAAAGTTGAAGGAGCGGTCGTAATTATTTCGTTATAACCATTAGTTTGTTATAGCCAATGTCCATTTCTTCCCACTATTAGCAAGCAAGGGGAATTATGATTGCTTTGTTATATCCATTAGTTTGTTATATCCCGTTTTGTTATAACGAGGTTTTACTGTACACCAATTTAGTCTCCCCGCTAAATTTGGTGGGAAAATTGATGTTACGTGATTTAAACACCGATTCAGTTTCCCTGCTAAATACAGTGCAATGTGCTTATAACGATAATGTGAAAAACCCGAAATGTCAGTCGTTATAACCGGTTATAGCAGTATAAGGACTTGAAACTAATCGTCTTTAGTCTAGAGACTAGAAATTGATTGTTTTAAGCGGTACATCATTACATGTGGTGTCGTTATAAGTGGATTGCGCTGTACAGCGGACAAATTGTTGTCACGTGACCTGACATCATGGGACCTATACAGCCATTCGGTTTCCACGCTAGATTTAGCTGGGATACTGATGTCATGATGTCACATGGTCTATGCACCAATTCAGTTTCCCTGCCAAATTTAGCTGGAAAATTAGTGTCACGCTAAATTTGGCAGGAAAATTGCTGCTGTAAGTGTTTCTGTTCCCGTCTGCCATACCAGATGCCCAAACGGTTACTGTCGAGACCGGTTATAACGAAGTCGGTTTATAACGAAATAGCGGCTACAGCGAAGCGATCACGATTTCCCATTCCCTTCTGCACTTCGTTATAACCGAAGTCGGTTATAACGAAATAGTGGATATAGCGAAGTGATTACCGATTCCCGTTGACTTCTTTATAACTGGTCTTGACGGTACTGCTGTCAGTACGACTTCAAAGCATTTTGCTGAACAAAACTGTGTTGCAGGTCTCAAAGACATTGATGGCGATGGCGACATCTACGTCCCAGAAAACGTCAGGGCTTTCTCGAAGTTTGTGAAGAACAGCACAGACAACAAGCTGTGTCACTTCGTCATGGCTGACGGTGTAAGTTCTTATTTTTGGGGGGGGGGGGGGTAAGGGAGTTTCATTAGGTTTTAGTAACATTTCTTGAGCATGTAGTTGAGTGCCTACGACTACAATTTCAGGCCTTTGGTTTTCACTTTGTCACAAGGACCGATGTTACGAGTCGACTGTTAAGACGCGTCAAGCGACCCTGATGTCTCGGACGGAATGTCTTTAATCACGTGCGCTCGTGACCACATCACCGTCTGTGCTTGGCAATGGTGCTGCAAGCTTAAAGGGAAAATAAAAAACATTGAAGCACAATGAAGCCTCTAACAGGTACATCCATCTACAGCAAAATCGACTTGGTAAAAGCGTATCACCGAATTCCTGTGGAACCGGCAGACATAGTGAAAACGGCCATCATTACACCGTTCGGACTGTTCGAGTATGTCCGTATGCCCTTCGGTTTGCGAAACGCTGCTCAGACGTTCCAGAGATTCATTGACAAGGTCACGCGAGGTCTGCCTTTTGTTTTCAATTACATGGACGAACTTGTAGCTAGTGCCACACCAGACGAGCACGAGCAACACCTCAGAGTTTTATTCGACCGGCTACAGGAATTCGGCCTTGTCCTGAACCCTACTAAGTGCGTCTTCGGAGTGGATAACTTAGAATTCCTTGGCCATCGCATGACACAGCTAGGAATCCAGCCGCTGGAAGACAAGGTAAAGGTGATTCGCGAGTTTCCGCTACCACATCACCGTTTCTGCTTGGTGATGGTGCTGCAAGCTTCAAGGGAAAATAGAAAACAACGAAGCACAGGGCCCCTACATCGACAGTTATGTGGCAGAATCCCTTTAATTGCTCGAGTTGCAAGGAATCTTATTTGGTGAAAGTATAATACGGGTATTCCCTTGATCTCTGTACAAATTTGGGGTATAGACGCTTTGGCGGAGTCAGTTACTGGAGCCGCCACCAGTCGGTGCGCCCTCCGGGCCGCCATGGCCGACCTTCAGTTTCTCGTTGTATGTGCTGCGCCGGCCGACACCGGAGCTTTGTTTTTGTGTTCTTTTACGTTCCGCGTTGAAATCGTGTGTTTTCTTTAAGTCTTCTCGATATTTCGGGCTTTCTTTTAATCAGTTGATATCTATATTCGAACATAGCTCTTGTATTTTCTTATTTATGGTAAGGAATCGGACAGCGAATGGGTCGACGATGCAAGATTAAGAGTCTTTAATGACCATATAAGTTCATCCCATTCTTACGTCTTTGTCGCTAATAAAGGGCAGTCAACCCCATTATGACATATGGAAATTTCAACTGACGCAGTAAGGCTATCGCAGTCATGCTTCTCGCTGCATGAGCGCGCTTTAGACAATTTTTCTGTAGGTAAAAGCCGGACCGCATGTAAGCGCTTTAGCGAGCGACGGCGACAACCACGAGAGTCAGCGATGAAGATTTCTCACCGTCACCCTTTTCCCCATGTGTGTTGCCCGCATGGGGAACATTTGTCCCCGTGTGCTCCGGACGGGTTTCCCTATTTGGTGCTGTTTGGGTCGTTGCACCGTGGTGCAATTCATCCCCGTTTTCCTATGCAGGGATTCTCGGTGGAGGGTCAAGAGAACATCCAGGAGATCTTGTCGAAGCGTCTCTACCTCTGCCAGTTCTACACAGCGCTCTCGGTGCTGCGTGAAGGTAGGTTCCCAGCGTCGGTCGGACGACAAGAAGCCGATTTTCGCAATAGCACGCCCCCGGAAATAAAGCATTTTCTGGGACGGAAACTCCTGCAACGCAGACGCAAATGTTTACGTCTTAGTATTTTGGCACAACCTCGATTATGGTAACACTGGTCTTAATATATCTGAATATACCCTAGCACCCCTACATTTTTCAGGCAGTAAATAATAAAAGATTTGCAAATTTTTTATGCAAACTGATGTGCTAAAGTAACCATCTTTTCCCCTTAAATGGTTCACGACTGCAACATGCTGCCCGGTTTACTAGTAAAGCTACCTTCTGTTTACTCACTTTTCAATGAAATACTAACTGTTGGGAAGTTGCCGTTTTATCTCTTGTTTTGTTCTGTGCTGTGTTTGCTGTATTTATGTGTTCCTTTATGCCCTCCCTACTGTAATGCCTTCTGAGCAATGTACAGCATGTTCTCCCAATAAATTTACGAGGTCTTTTTCGCTGGAAAAATGAACTATGCTGCACCAAACTCTCTTTCTCTGCCGAAGTGTTACGCTAGCGGTCCAAATTAAATGCCAAAGTTTCAGAACTTATAATTTTCAAAAGGAAAACGATGGAGATAACAAGGAAAACGATGGAGATAACAAAATAAAACTTTGTATTGGTAACAAAAAAGTTTGTTCAAACAAAAACAAAAATTTAGGAAGATAAGCAGTAACCGATTCAGGGATTGTGAGCCGGTAGTGCAAGTTAAAGATGTAAGGTCAAAGTCTGTTTCCCCCGAAATAACGTCACCGTGAACCCACTCCTTCGGAGCGTCGCTACCGCGGTTGGTAAGGCTGTGCAATGTTTGAGACAAAGCCAACAGGTAAATAAAGATTTGCTGGAATGCCGCACACAGACGTTTGTAAAACGTCCCATTTCGAGCTTCGTGTTCGTGATGCCGTCCATGCCATGCCTTGCTGCAAGGCCGCCACAACCCTCGTTGATAGCACGCCGTGCACGGGTGCACGGATGTATGCACCAAACAAGGAAGTTGCACAAGAGCCCACTCCTTGTGATTCACAAGGCGCCCAACTTGGCCCGACGCCTAAGCGTTTGCTGACGCAATCGAAGGTTTTCCCGCTTCCCCAGCATGGCTCTTCGTGGCTTCTTTCAACTGTTTGCTCGTTGCGCCTGGTTGGTTTTTCCATTTTCTTGTTGACTCTTTTTTGTTTGTTTTACCAACGAAGGTAGCATAGCGGTGTTAGAAACGTGCTTTCACAGAACAAACATTCGCTCTGTATGCCGATCGGCAGTGCCCATCGCGCGTATGCAAGCAACGGACTTTGCGACAGTAAGACATTCTTTCGTCAGCATTTCCTGCGTAAAACAATAAAACTTATTCGAGTTTTTAGTTAAATGTATCTCTTGTGCAGCCGTGCTAGGTATGTACAGAAAAATGGGAGTTTTTGTAATCTCTTTCATAAAGTTTTGTGCTTACCCCCCGAGACATGGCCCACCCCACTTTTTTTAGGAATTTGGGGTGGCAGGGGGTAGGCAATGACTCGGGATATTGCGGCATTCATATTTTTCTAAGTGTTGATTGCCATTGAGCCCCATTGAGCCCCATTGAGCGCGCTTCTCACCGAGCACCAATGCACTGTGTAGAAGCATCACCTGCGGATGCGAGCTTCGCGAGTGTTGCTTCTCTGCAGTGCATTGGTGCTTGGTATGAAGTGCACTCAATGGTCTAATGCACTGGGATGAACACTTGGAAAAGTATAAATTATCGCAAATGCCCGCTTGGGAGAAAAGCACACTTTCAAAGGAGGATGGTGTACGCGTGTGCCTCGTGTATTTGGAAAGAAATGGAAACTTTGTGAATACTCAAAATTAAACTCTGACTGTTATGGAAGGGTATATGTTAGGCAGCGATGCTCTGACAACCTGCGTTCATCATGCGCAATTCCTTTTTTTTTTTTCTTTTTTTTTTTTTTCTCACATTTGAGATTGAAGGAAGAATATTGTCATATAGCAAGATTTACATTCACTCCATTTGGTATAGTTGAGCTTCTCTATAGAAATAATTTTTTGTCTAATCCGTCTTTAACTTGCCATCTCAAGACATCAGACTTCCTAAGATCACAGTCCATAAATATAGATAGATTAAAATTAGCTTATAAATGGACAAGTGGAGGCATGGAAACAACCTTCATGAGTTTAGCTGGGTTTTCATTTAAGCATGGTGCAATGGTAATCAAAGGCATGGAGGCACTACAGTCGAACCTCGTTATAACGAGCATCAGGAGCAGAAATTTGTTTGCTATATGCAATATTCGTTATAAAAGTACACACAGAAATCAACACGAACGTTCTCGCAATCGAGCTTGTGCAAGAACGTGCACAGCACTAAGATATAAAAACACGCTTTCGTGGACCACAAGATCCTTACCTGTCACTAAGCAGCATTAAAAAAATAAATCAAAGCGTGAGGATATCAGTTTGCGACACGGGAAACAACGTTAGCTGGATCTATTATTTAATTTATTTGAAGACGTGATTTTGGGCTGGTGCCTCTTCAGCTGGAGCCACCGTGCTAGAGCCAACCTCTGCTCGTGCTAAAATCCTCATGTCCTAACAGACACGGCAGATTGATTGCTTTTCTTTGAAGAAGCTGACCAGACACTTGCAAATTTCGCACTGTTACTTCTTTAGACCATGAAAACAGAGTCTCTTTCACGTCCGCGTCCTGGCAAAGCCCAAGTCTTGACAGTCTTGTTTGCATAGCAGACTTCAATCTTCTTCCTTGCACTCAGGACGGTAGATATCGTGCTTGTTGCAAGCTCAAAGTCCGCAGTGATGTCTTTTTTCTTCCGACTGCTGTCCACCGCCCTCAAAACCTTCACTTTTTGTCTCCGGAGATACAGCTTTTCGCTTCGTCGCCATTTGGAGCTCCGCTACGACTGGCGTGGTTGGCAGTTGGCATTAGTTTGCACTGGTTCTTGATGCCTCGCATAGGAGCCAGCAGTGGCATAACTGCCGTTATTTGCTCGGTTCATTGGTGGCGCTACCTTCCAAAACATACATTTTTGCACATTGGGCAATCAATACTTAAGGAATTTTTTGTTTAGAAATTACTTTTTCTATTTTTTAATAACCTTCATAGTATTTTGTGAGGCAAGAAAAGCAGGAATTGCTTTGCTATAACCGATAACGTGTCAAATTTCACGGTTTCGGTTTCGTTATATAACTAGAACTCCCATAGAAATAAAGCATGACCAAGCAAACTTCGTGATTAGTTCGCTATATCCGATAATTTGCTATATCAGTGTTTGTTATAAAGAGGTTCAACTGTATTTGATATTCAATTAGAAAATATTCAGTCAAAACCACTATTCGCTTTGAACTGAGAATTTTCTATATATTTGCGCATGATCACTACAGTAGTCGCTGTACAATTCTTTCCAGGAAACATCCGGTACTAAAACAATACTTAAAAAAAAACTATTTTTTCTCAGGTGGCCACTTTGTCTGCAAGTTGTTTGACATCTTCACCCAGTTCAGTGTGGGGCTGGTGTACCTCATGTACCGGGCCTTCGAGCAAGTCTCCATCTTCAAGCCCAACACCAGCCGGCCTGCCAACTCGGAGAGGTTCGTGGTCGCTCCTGCTGCAGTTGTTTGCCAGCTTAAAAGGGATACTGCAACGAAGTTATAGCACCTATTGATTGCCTAAACGTCAACCACGTTCTGGCCACACCATGGAGACGCCAATTTTTGTATCGAAAAGACACCAAAACATAATTTAGGGGGGGGGAACACTACCCAGAAAAGTCAACTTCTGTACCGCTTGCTTGATTTCAATCAAATTTGCAGTGCAAGCTTGTGAGTGGCAAGACCATCCCCACCGAATTACATTGTCCTATTTCAATTCTGAAACTTGTTACGAATGTTACAATATGGAAGTCAGTGTGTACGCTTAAAAAACTATTGTTTCAAAACAAAATAAAAATTTGTTTTTTTATGTGTAATATAGTCGTAGGAATACCCTAGCACATACCCAGCTAGTTATTTTGCTATATTACATTTTTTTTTCATATGTTCACTTTAATGTATAAGAGGATTAAAATGTTTTTTTTTTCATGTCTGCACTTTTTCACAAACATAGTTTTTTAGCGTAAAAGAATGTTAAAGTAGAAAAACTAACCAGCCAGGCATGTTCCTCACAAAATTCTATCCCAGAAAACCACCTAAGAATAATTCTCTGTTGTGTAATGGAAAAACTATAGTTTTCCTAAAGTGAAATTTATGCCGAAAAGTGGAACTAGAAAAAAGGTATTCAAAGTGCTTCAACCCCTACCTTTTCTTTAGCATTGGTGGACCGAAAATAATTTATAAAAAGTTAACTATGCAATGTAAACTAATGAAACTTTCTAGGAATACTCTCTAGATATTGGTGGATGTAAATATGTATTGTATTTTTTCAAAATCAACTTTTTTGCAGAAACTGTTTTTTCTGGGTAGTGTCCCCCCTTAAAAGGAAAAATCCGAATGTTGTTATGTAACTCTGACCTTAAAAGCAGTGCCACTCTAAGCTGTGTGTGCATGAGCCCTGTTGAACCGGATTTCTTTCTGTCCCGGCCTGTTTAACTCTTGCGGGGAGGGGCGACTTAAAACGACCAGGTTGTTACGCGAAGCTCGACGCACTAGACACTTCCAATGTCTATCGGCGGCAGGTTTAACTAGGCAAGCCTGGTCAGGACATCGTCTGCGAAAGCCAAAACAGGCAACCCGAAACAGGTTTGTTTTTTTTCTCTTTTTAACGAGGTAAGTTTTTCCATTGATATTTGTACAGCTCCGCCGCTCGGCAACAACGAACGCGTTACAACCTGGCCGTCTTAGTTGCCCCTCCCCGCTCCCCGCAGGAGTTGAATGGGCCGAGAGAGAAGGGAAATCCAGCTCGACAGAGGTCGCGTGCACGCAGCTTGTCGTCTCGTTTTTGCTTAGCGGCGCTGCTTTTAAGTTGAGAGTGACGTAACGACATTGGGTTTATTCCATTAAATTCATGTTTTGGTGTCTTTTCGGGCAAAAAATTGGTGTCTCCGTAATGTGGCCAGGACATGGTTGACATTTAGACAATGTAATGGGTGCTGGAATTTTGTTGCAGTATCCCTTTAAGGCTGGTTCACACACTTGGAACTGCTTACAACCGTGTGCACTGAAACCTCTTGGGATGTCTCACGACGAGACAACTCACTGTCGCCATCTATCGGATAGTTGAGGAAAGCATTTTCTTATGCTTTCTATTTTTTTCACGCATCATTCTTTTTTTTTTGGCTCTTAAATTTTTTGTCAATGCTACTATAAACGACCATTTCCCATTGGTAGTATGTACATTTGATGTCGCAAATACCGCAAAACCTTCGCTCTAGTGAAATGCAGTTCCAGAGTCCGTTCATAGAGGGCGCAAGCGTGCCGGCGTGTTCTCTCGTCGTACGAGATCGCAAGAACTCAGTCACAAGCAAACGCAAGTGTGCAAACGGGCCCTTAAGAAATGCAGGGTGGGGTGAGTCCCACGCATCTTATTATGGCTACAGCGAGAATACAATGTTACTGGCGAGCATTACCCAAAAAACACCCGCCGGTAAAAGTTTAATTGGTTCAGATTTATCCGCAAAAAGAAAGACATATATTTCGAGGTAACGACGGCAGAAAGATTAAAGGTTTAATCACAGCACCGGCTCAGTGCTCCTGAAAAGAGGCCACCCAAGTTTCTTTTTTGACAAAAAGGGTGTTCATTCTTTATCTCATCAAGGTTTGTTTGAGGCAGTTGGTAATTGTGGCATTTTGGTAGCAGAGCACTAAGTTTACTTTTGTGTCGCAACGAAAGCCATAGAGGCCGGTTTACATGGCGCCATTTTCTTATATTACGTTATGGTATGGAAGCTCACGTCTTCTTACGTTTTGAGTCACCTGGACATCCGTGCTTTGTACGAAGCGTGGCAACCAATCGAAGAGGTAGCTTTGCACGCAACGTAGGAAGCACGGATGTCTTGGCGATTCGTAACGTAACGTAAGAAAACGTAAGCAAGTTACCCCCGTGCGAACGAGCCTCAAGGGCCGTCGTTGATGGGAGCGTGTGCATGGCTCTGTTCCCAGGTACATAGTGTGCAAGTGGCGGCGGAAAAACACCAAAGACATCGAAGACTACATGTACGAGCAGTGCTGCCGCTTCGAGCAGATCTCCAGTCCAACGACTGACACGGACATCATAGAGGTCGTGCCCCTGGAGATCCTCAACGACGACGACCGCTTCTTCAACTACATCCTCAACTCGAACAACAGGTGTGGTCGGCGGCAGTAGGTGGCGCTGTCCGTCACCCGGAATTGTAACGTTCGGTTGTGGAGAATGTTCAATCAGTGCTCGTTTTTAGCAGCCGTATGAAATTCTTTACCATGCTTCATTAATTTCATATTTGGAAATGAACCGTAAAGAGGTTTAACCTTACTGGGTTTTCTGTTATTTTTCAATTGGAGACCAGTTAATTGTGGAAATTAGAAGCTTTGGCTAGATGCTGCAAGCTGCCGCAGCGTTAAGAGGGTTCTGCTGTGTCCATCTGTCCAATGCAAAATTGAGCAAAAGCATTCCAATTGGCTGTCATAGAGTGTACAAAGGAAGTTTTGCTGTCTCTGTTACCCCAATTTGCTTCTATGCAGTTTTCTAGTATTTCTAGATACAATGATCAGCTGTCAAAGGTGTAGAGAAACTGCCTGAATAAAAGCAGCATTCTTAATTTTGTCAAAGAAAACCAGGTGAAATGTAAATTTTGCATTGGCAAGGTGTGCCAGCACTACTATTATGGGACTTAACGTCACATGACATTGTACTATGTAACATGACGGCCCGTGACACCAAGATTTGACACCGTGACGTCAGGTCAAAACTATGTTGTCCACTTCCTAAAACAATTCTTTAATGTGTTCTAAACAAATTTGCATTGTCACGTTTTAAACGCTGTATTCGAATAATATAGCACTTTAGAAATTAAAGGGGTTAGGACAGGCCAGAAATGAAATATGAGAACTGTATGACTAGGACCCATTGTATGTTGCTATGATCCTGCTAAATTTGTTTTGAAAATGGCGCGATAGTTTCTCGAGGATAGCATTGGGGTTGCCGAGTTGCTTGAGCGGCTTTGATCGTACCGCAGCAAGGTGAGCTTGGGTGATCAAGGGGGTGCCTAGAATGAGAGAACATTCAGGATTACGTGGTTTCTGGGCACCATGGTGTGACTAACTTCGGTAGTGTGTCGTCGAGTCACCAGATGAAAATGATCGAAATTCGTAAATTGATCTTTGCGATTACTGGAGCCCTAAAAATCACAAGACTGTGTATATGCTAAGTAGCCTTTGACCATTCCATTTAAAGAATAATCTATCCGTTTAATTTTGTAGCGTGAGCCACACTGGCCGAGGTTGAGCAGTTTCGCATGGCTCCCAAAGAGCCGTGCTGCGCATGCGCGAGGAGCAGTGACGTCACACGACGCACAGCTGGCGCGCCGGAGCCGCCGTTGCCACGCTTGCTTTGCCGGTCTGCGCATTCCAGAGGAGTGACGTCATAGCCGCGGCAGACGCACTGGCCCCGCCGCGTACCCAGCTGTGCGCCTCCGTTGCAGCCCCACACATTTTTTTCTGTCCTAACTCCTTTAAGGTTGCTACCATTCTTTTTTTTTTTTTTTTCACATGTTATTAATTTTTATTTGAAGATTAGGGCCCAGGTACAAGAAAGTTCTGTGTCCAGCTTATGCAATTTTACATTCAGAATTATAGTAAACTGTAAGGGCTTGTCAACTACATTTTATTTTCTATTGGCTGCCTCCAGGGATGGGCAAAATACATGCAAATATGTATCGAAATACAAATACAAAATACTTAGTCAAAAATGTATTTAACTACAAATCTAACTACATTTCCAAAAGAGCATTTAATTACAAGATACAAATGCAACCAAATGTATTTAGTCTCCTCCAAATACTTTTCCAAATACATTCCTCAAAATTTGCGTCAGCGACTTCAGGGCACCTGCAACGGATTTCTGGGTATCTCAATTTAATTTTGCATTGCACACTCGGGAGTTAGTGTGCGAGGCTCTAGTAACGTAATAGAAAGATAATCACTAAAAAAATGTCATCAGCTCTGATGTAATAGGTGAAAAAAGTACAGAGCTTCAAGCAGCTTTTTTTGTCGATTACATTTTGGTATAGACCAGGGGTGGCCAAACCGCGGCTCGCGAGCCGCATGCGGCTCTTTACTGGTCCAAGTGCGGCTCGCGGATCCCTCGTAAGTGGTCACCCCCTCCCTCGCCCCTTTCCGCGTTCCCCCAGGAAAAAAAGAAGGAATTTCAGGCAGAATAAAGTATAGCTCGCGGTTTGGCAGCCTTGTACCCCCATACGTACTGTCGTACAGCCTTGTCCACTCATACGTGCAGTCAGACTCCAAACCAAATTTAAATTTGCCCCCCCCCGCGGCTCTAAGAAGTTTCGTAGTGTCGTTTGCGGCCCTTAGGCCGGTTCAGCCTGGCCACCCCTAGTATAGACCAACAAGGAACGAAGACGACCAAGATGCGCAGCACTAGCTAGAGAATTTTTTATTGTTGCAACTCGCACCAGTTACGAAAATCTGGACGACCCGCGCATTTAGAATGTTCCAGGCAAACATATGGATGGAAATCAGGCTGGAAAGCATCACAGGTTGTCACAGGCACTTAGTAATCACAAAGTCACTAAACGCTTGTGCTTGATTGAGAAACACTGCATTCGGTGCAGAACATAGTTTTCTTCCCGCTCTGGACACGTCTTAGGATGAGCAAAATGAGTCGTGACAATAAATTTGAGGGATGTATTTTCGCCCACAAAATTGTATTTAATTACAATTGTATTTGAAATACCCACGTTTTAGTATTTAAATACACACGTCAAATACATTACCCAATTTGTAATTAAATACAAATGCCAAATACAGTCGAGCCCACTTATAACGAACTTGATCGCCACGCGGAATTTGTTCGTTGTATCCAAAGTTCGTAGTAAGTGGACCACCTATAATACAGGCAAAAAGAGCAAGCGAGAAGAAAGTTAACTTTATTTTTGAAAAAAGTCCATGATGCAAGTCTGCTTCTTCAAAGCTGATCGCATCACTGCCGTTTCTAATTTTTCCAGCGCGGTAATATGTTCATCACCAAGACCTCTGCTGCACACGAGTTCCTTAAGCGACGCGATGTAACCGATCGCGGTTGAAGCGTTCACAGCAACCGGCGGTAGAGCAGCATCCTCGTCATCGTCCTCGTCGGTCTCTGGGCAGTCGGGAAGGGCTCGCACTTCACGCACAATAGCTTCGTCAGTGCACGGCTCCGCGATGTCGGCGTCGTCATCAGCAGAAACGAAATCGTCCCAGGCAACGTCAGGTCCGGCCAGCTGCGTGTCAACGACGCGTTGCCACAAGTCCTCGTGCGACCGGCCTTCCTGTGGGTGATCTATGGCGTCCTCGGTGCCTGGGCCCATAAAACCCGCCTTGCGGAAGCAATTTGCTATGCACTCCGCGGTGAGTTCCATCCACGCCACCTTCAACATCTCCACGGCGGCAAGCAAGCTGATGCGAACCGGCATGGCGGCATCTGGCCGATCAATTGCGATCAACAAGCGTTGGATGACGCGCCGCCGGTAGCACACCTTGAACGCATGAATAATGCCCATATCCAGGGGCTGAATTTTGCAGGTTGCATTGGGAGGCAAGAAGAGTACTGTCACCGCACTCAAGGAAAGCTGCACACGGTGTGCCGCACAGTTATCCAGCACGAGCAGGACCTTCCTGTTTTTTCGTGCCATGTCGCGGTCAAACTCGACAAGCCACTCGGCGAATAAGTCGCGGCTCATCCAGGCTTTCGTATTGTTCCTGTAGCGTACGGGCACGTAGCTTCCAAAGCATCGCGGCTTACGTGACTTGCCAATAACAAAAGGTAGCCGCCGGTCACTGCCGTCCATATTGGCACAGAGAAGAACGGTTATCCGCAACTTGCTGTTCTTACCTCCCGCGCACTTGTCGCCTTTCAAGGCATGCGTTTTAGATGGCAACATCTGATAAAACAACGCAGTCTCGTCGGCATTGTAAACGTCCCGTGGAGCATAGCTCGCAATTGTTGGGAGGTTGTCGAAAAGCCATGCATCGACGTCCTCGTTGTTCACAGACGCGGCCTCGCCGACGACCGCCTTGAAAACAATTCCGTGGCGAGCCTTAAACTGGTGGAGCCATCCATTGCCTGGGCTGAAATCGGGAAAGTCCAAAAGGAAGGCGAAGTCTTTAGCCTTGGAGAGCATCAGCGGTCCACTGATCGGAACGTTGCGAGACCGGGCGTCTGCGAACCACTTCAGCAGTGCGTCCTCAACGTCCGCGTAGGTCGCCTTCCGAAGGCGCTTTCTTGTCGGGTTGGCATTCACGGTAGCACCAAGAATCTTTTCCTTGTCCTTAGCAATGGTCGAAATGGTCGATTTCGACAGTCCGTACTTCTTGACCAAATCGCCGTTTTTTGCACCTTGAGCAAGTTCATTAACAATGGCCATCTTCGTTGCAATGTCGACTGCTTTCCTTTTAGCACCTGAAGAGGTCGGCATACAGTCCGCCATCGCACCAGGCGGAAGTCAAGCCCTTGGACTCGCGCGTTGAGGCAACCTTCAAATCCCCGATCTGGGAAGAGCACGAATGCGGCAACGATGTCAACGCAGTGCCATCGCACAGAAAGAATCATCCGCGGGTCCGCGGTCCGGGGTGGCAACGGAGCAGCAACAAATGGAGAACCGGTTTGGGCCGGTAAAGCAGGCGCCGAACTTTCCGGATTGGTCGACGCAGATCACGTGGATGCATCCCGACGACGCGGGCGGCGCCACTTTCTCTTTCGTCACCGCGCGCGCGCGCTTTTTCGTTTTCATTTTTCAACGCGCGCTTTTTCTTTTTTTCTTTATTTTCTCCGCAAAGGAGCGTCCGGGGGACGCTCCGTGGGCGAAGTTCGTCTGCCGCGGGTTCGCAGTCGAGCGAAACCGCGCCAAGCACCGCCGGCTCGGTCAACTACGGGGGCCCGACAGCTTCGCGTTCGCTCTAACCGAGTGGTAAGGCCGCAACAGTTCGTTCTATGCGAGACACTGTGCCATTGCCCCAATGTATATTTTGACGGTAGCACCACCCTTGTTCGTACTAAGCGAGCGTTCGTTATATCTGCGGCCGTTATAAGTGGGCTCGACTGTACACAAAGTATTCAAAATACATATTTCAAATGCTTGTATTTGAAATACTGCCCATCCCTGGCTGCCTCTGAAGATGACAAAACTTTTTTAAACTGGTGTTCTATGGTTGCAACCTAATCTCTGGCTGCTAAGTTAGTTTGTTTATGATTTGTCTTTTGGAAAGCTAGCTGTTTCAAGCTTCTGTTTTCACATTGTAAGCCTGCAAACTTGGGTGGGCAAGCATTTAGTATTTATTACTTTTTTTGGCGGTGATAGGTTGGGACGACAGCAGGTAGTCCATTTGTCCAAGATCAAGGCATTTGCACAGAATGTGTGAGTTTCTTTTTAACTTGTTCTTGCATCTTGTTTTTTGTTGCTTTTTCTGTTTATGAATGTTTGCTTCAAGCACTTTTGTGATAAAACATCACGAACATTGAACCTTCTTACCCCAACTCTGGTTCCACAATCGTGTCTGGTCTGTAATGAATTTGTGGCTTTCTAAAAGCCATCTGCTCGATTAGCTCCTTGTAACTACATATCTTTCTAAGTTCATGGCTTCAAGATTCCTGAAAAGTTTGAAAAGCAACATAAATTTTGATGTGAAATGATCAAATAAAAGTGCAGCTCCATATGAAAGGGGGATCCTGCTAGAAGCCTCAGACTGGCATCTAACATGTTGCAAAAGGACTTGGCTTCTTGAAGAGACTACCAAGCTTTTGGTCACCACTCTGAGACTAGTTCTTACTGACTTCGACTAGCTTTGTGTTTCTGAAATGTCAAGCACATGCTAGAAGTCTAACTGCAAAAAGTTTAGAGATTGAGTTTTCAAAAGGGGTATGGTGTCATTATTCCCTCTGGTCAAATGCAAACATGTCCTCGCCTGGAAATCACTTTCTTGAGTGGGCTATGTCCTTGATCCCAACCTTTTAATTTGCAAGTGCATTTTATGGTTGAGTGTGTTACTTAGAAACTCTGTGTACATGCATTTGACGGCCGGACTAACTCATCTTCAAAACTTGACTTTTTTTCTTATCACAGCGATCTTTACGAAGACCGTCAGAGTAACCTGCGCAAGGAGTCCTTACAGCTTTGGAAGGTATGTCAGTGTACGCAGTCAAACCTGTTCGTAAGCGAGCCAGCGAGAATCGGAAATATGTTTGCTCTGTCGGGGATTTATTGCGTCTAGGTTTTGAGAAAGGAAGATTTTTTTAACGCCCATGGCATGTAATTGTGTAGGCTCGCATAATAGCGGCCGTCCAGTTTATGTTCTGTACAAAGTAGCTACAATGAAGCTGAAATTCTGGTGGTACATATCTCTCTCCAAATTGTTGATATGGTGTGGGTAAGCAGTATAACGGAGAGCAGCAGATTTGGAGAACGCATTTCGGCCGACGTGGCTGGCAACGTCTTTCTGGAAGGCACATCTGGTTGATGTGCTTTACAGCAGAGCATAGGGAAAGTGTATGCTTTAATATAGGCTTGTTAGTTTTGTTGGGTAGTTCGCTCGTGTTTTGAATTTATCATTTGTTTATCACTGTATAAGTTCCTAGCATTTTGTTATCATTGTATAAATTCCTTTGGCGCCTGCATCACGACTGCTGCTTTGGGTGGCGAGGGGCCAGTCAAGCTGTTTCCACAGCTCTTTTCCCTGATCATCCTTCAACATTTTGTTTTGTTGGAAAAATAAAGGAAATATTATTATTATTATTACTATAAGAAAAACAACTGATAATTCTATTTTAGCGGGAGAAGATGAAGCTCTTGCACTATTATTATTATTATTGTTGTTGTAAGAAAAAACACAACTGATAATTCTATTTTAAGTGAAAGGAAATGAAGCTCTTGCACTATAGTTTGGTGCTGTGTGTATGTTTCCTCTTGCAACACTCTGTTTCATTTCACCTTATGTGCGAGCGAGACGAAACTAAAAGCAGAAGTGCATTGCGCCGTACGATGCTTGCAGTGCATTACCGCACATGCTGGGCGGGGACATCGAAAGCCCGTAGCTTGCTCTTGTAGCTTCTGCTAAACTCGCACTTAAAGGGGCAAATTGGTTTCTAAGATTCTCTTTTTATGGTCATAATTGTATCTACGGGGTCTAAGCATTCCAGGAGATCCACAATTAAACCGATGTGCGCCCTATTTCCCTATTAAAAACTAGGCCAAAGACAGCGACACACTTGTTCTGCGATTCGGCACAGAAACCAGAGGATGCCATCAAAGTGTTACAGCCAATCGCAAGTGATCGCTTCCCACGTGGCAAGGGGGCCGATCAGCGGCGGACCAATTTACGAATGTGTTGATTTTGCGTGTGGGAAGCGATTGCTGGCGATTGGCTGTCGTACGTTCGGCGGCGCCCTCTGGTTTCTTCGCCGAATAACTGAAAAATGGGTGGGTCGCAATTTTTCATTTTGGTATTTAATAGGGAAATGGGCGCATCTCAGTATAATTTTGGGTTTTCTAGAATTCTTAGAACATATAGGTGGAGTTATGACCGTAAATAGACAATATAAGAAACCACTTTAGTGCCCCTTTAAAGAAAAACGGATGACAGATGCCACGGTGCTGGCATAACACGGGTGCCATCCCATTTCTATCTGTTTCTATCTGTTTTCACCCATCTTGTTCGTTTGATCTTTGAAGTAACCTGTAGAAGATGTTGACACAAGCGCACTACGAATTCTGCGTCGAGGACAGTTCACTTTTGCCTTTTCCTCCAGGTACCCGATCAAGTTCGATCTGAGCCGAAGAGGAGCAGCCCGGCGGCAAAGTTCAAGGAGCTCATCAAGGTCCGCATAAGTTGTTTAGTGGGAAAATAGTGGCCAACGAAGTTCATGAATACCTGGGGAACTAATGGCGTCAACTTCCTGAAACAGGCCCAGTTTTCCATTGAAAGATTTACGAATGAGGAAACGGTTACAGTTCCGAAACTTCGGCATCTTGTCCTGACCATTAGCACTACATCTGCGCGATACTGGGCATTTGGCGATGTGTAGAAATACTTGCGACATTTGGCTGACGTCAGCACGAGACAACAAAGCATTCTATATAGACATTTGCAAGTACCTACGGCCTCTGGGCGCCGTCATCTTGCTGCTGGTGTGGGTGAATCGTCCGACAGTCTAGCATTGCCGAGGCGTACCCGCCGTTTCCAGACTGGCGCCCAAACGAAGCTTTTTCGTCCACGGTGGCCGGACTCTCGAAGCGCGGCTGCTTGCAAACATCTATAGGGAATGTGCATTGGTTCCCCTTTCAGAACGAGACGAGCTACTTCGACACCAAGCCAGACGAGCTGACAGACGTGGCGTTGCGGAGGATGAAGAGCGTCTACGATTACCGCTGCGTTGTCTGCGGCGAATCGAAGCCCAACCCCCTCATGTCGGACAACAAGTTCTTCTTTTTGGGCCTTGGGGTGAGGAAATCAGTCTGGCACTTACAAGCACAGCCAAAATATGTATGTAAGGAAGCAGTTGAAGCATTTACGTTGTACATTTTAGGCAAAACCCCGAAACTGGGGGGAAGGAAGTACAGCACAACACAAAGTCGCTGGGTTATGTTGTCCTTCCTTTTTCCCAGTCTCGGGGTTTAGCCTAAATGTTAATCCTGCACCAGCTTGTTTCCGCCCTAACTTTTCGTACGTAGTACAGTCTAAAGTTTGCACCGCTTCTTCTCATTACTGTACGCATTCTCAATGCTGTAGACAACTTTATTTTTGCGGGCTCATTATTTCACAAATTCTGCAAAGTGCGGGTTTTGGGACCATTTTACGGGCACAAAATTCCACAATTTAGAGTGCCACACTAGGCGTTTGTTATCATGGGCTATTAGTATGTTTTAAATATTTTCCAAGCAGTGAAAATCACGAAGATGAGGTCCTCATGAAAATGAAGCCATTTACAGCAGTAATTCTCAAACGGTGGTCCGTGTGGGGTCCTTGAAGATATTTTTAGGGTCTGCGGAGCACTGAACCGTAAGTCAAGCTGAGCAATAAATTTTTCTTTTTTAACTGCTAATGGCGTCCCATAATGCTAAATAGACCAATCCATGTGTGCCCAGTGAGTGGCGTTGATTATTCTTTGGTTCAGGGCTCGAAAGCAGGTTTGGATACATTTCTTCATTGACTCTTCTGCCATTGTAATTGTTCATTATGTCCCCCCTCCCCCTGTGGATGAGGTCACCCATCGCTTCCGCCAGTCCAGAAAGCACCTCCGGAACGTCGGTGGTTGAGAACCACCTGTTCACAGTATTCAACCTATTATTCAAAGTCACTTTTTTGCATTCATATTCGATTCGTTTTTGAAAGCTTTTATTCTCTTCATACACCCCTAAAAAACAAAGTGTTTGCAACTTTCACCTTTGTATCGGGAGCCAACACGTTTCAAAAACGTTTTCTGCGTCGGTGAACTCTATTTTACACCTTACGGCAGACTGCAGCGGATGTTACAAGCCATCCCAGCCAACCCAGCGCCGCAAATGCACCCTGCGGTCACACACCCCGCGCGTCGCCGCACCCCTTTCAAAGGTCACGCGACACCTGCATGGCCTTGGATTGGCTCGGACATCGCGTCGCATGGCCTTTTGAAGGTTGCGCGACACCCTTGGATTGGTTCGGATTTTGCATGGAATCCTCCGCGGTCTGTCGTAAGGTGAAACGTAGAGCCACTCAGTAAGCTACACTTCAGCCTCCTCGGTACTTAAAATCACTGTTGCCGGAGTTATCTGAATCCACATCTGAAGCCGCAGAAAATGGTTTTCCGCCCTTCAGAAGCATGTAAACACAACAAAACGACATCGCCCGAGTTTCCTGATGCCGCATCTACAGCACCAAATCCACAACACAATTTTTTGTTTTTTTTTTGTTTTTCAGTTTAAAATTAATTTACGCATTGTTAAATACTCATCCTCCGCCCGAATATGGCGCTAGCAGTCCTAACCAGGCGCCAAAGTTTCATAACTAAGCGTTACTTCATTCAGAAGTTATAAGTGATTTTCTGAAAATAGTAATGAAAAAATGGGGCCAGTTTTTTGGTCACTGGCACCATTCGGCTCCATTTATTTGCGAGCTCCGTCGGCCGCCATTTTCCCATATAAAATTTAGGAAACTCACTCGGAACTTTTTAATTGGATTACGGTTAGTTCTGAAATATTGGCGTGTGGTTCGGACCGCTTGAGCTACGTTTGGGCACAAGAACGAGGGTTTGCTGATGCACAGTATATTTTTTGCGGTAAAAAAAAAAAAGGCCGTAGATTTTTATCGGAGGGACAGCCTGTAGAGCTGAGGAATGCACATTTTTAAGATAGTAATGGTCATCGGTTGTGCGCCCATCCAGCGCTAAGTACCGCAATGGCCACACCCACGAGAAGATCTAGGAATCGAATGCCGGTAGTCTATGCACAGCTAAACTCGGTCACTCTAGTGAAACGGAGCTCAGCAGTCGTTTACTTGAATCGGTTTGTTTTCTTTCGTTCCAGCGCAAACACGTGTACCAGTGGACAGGGGACACAAAGGAACAGTGGAAGAAGCCCGTGCAGGAAACTCTGGAACTTCCTGCGGACACCCTCTTCTACGGCGAGGTGGTGCAGGAGTTTGAGGGCGAAGTGAGTGGGAGGGCTTCTTTTTTCTTGCGTACGAGCGTTGAGGCTGGTTCACAAACTTGCATTTGAGCGTGCTCGAACGCGTTGTGTTTCCTTGTGACCGCTTAGGGGTGCGAGAGCACACTGAAGTCATCTATCTACCAAAGGGCCCTGGAACACTTCAGATATGCGTATAACTAGACAGAAGGTTTTGCGGCACTTGCAAGATCAAATCTACATACTGCCAGCATACGAGTCCCTGGGTGGGGATTGTAGTCACTTTGGCGGCCTGCATATCCCTAGAGTTGGCAGGTTTGAATCCCGACCGAGATTTCGGAGGCACGTCAAAAGATCTCCAGGTTGTCGAGATTAATCCCCAGTCCTTTGGTGGGGGCGTGCCAGATGCCCTTCGTGCGTTCGGTACTAAACACCCTTAAATTTGACCTTTATTTTTCATTTTTTTTTCTGACTGCAGATGTGTTTGTTTAAGCATGACCCTGCTAGTGCTCTAACAACTTTATTTTGGAGGTTCAATATTGTGATTTTTCGAAGGGCTGGGTTTTGGGACAATTTGGCGGGCACAGTATTTTGTGATTGGGAGTGGTGTTGTGTGTATTCGTTACCTTATTGTAACATATTTGCGTGATCGATTTTTAAGAATATTTTTGAGGTTGCACAATGCACAAAAATTAGGTCTTCATGAAAATTAAGCTGTTTAAGTATCCAATGCCTGATAACTTGACCTACCAGACTTGTAATGCACTTCCCTTCACCACAGGGACGGCACCAGAAACGTTTCAACACGGTTCACATCATCGACGCCCTCGTCTTAGGCAAGGTAGACGTCAGGGACATGCACTATGACGAGAGGTGAGATAGATGGATACAGCTAAATGCTTTGAATTGGAGTGCAGCTAGTGCCATCTAGTGAGTGTAGCCGGTGGCACTTTGAAGTGACGTAGCTGCCATCTTGCAGATTTTGAGCAAACTACTCCCAGTGGCCGTTGTGACTGGTGTTTCAATGCAACCTACTTGTCTGCTTTTTTTTTTTTTGGCCTTGCTGTTATGTTGAGTTTTGAGAAAAAATATTGCCTGGCTTACAGATTCTGTTCATTGCAATAAAGGAGGAATATTGCTTGATGGGGTGCTTAATGAGCAGCACTTTCTATCTAAATTTTGCAAAAAGATTTCCCCTCTAAATTTAATAAACAGATTTTGGTGTCACGTCACATGACATCACGACGTCAGATGGTGACACTACGGCACGTGGCATAGTGTCGTCAGCTGACACTGTGAAATCATGTACGGTCAGACCAACTCTAGCAAGAAAAGTCTATGAAGTTTTTGCATATAAAGCTGTTGCTTTAAAGTAACAGTAGTCAAAAATAGTGCGTGTCTGCCTGCCTCGTGTTTTACCTGCCAAGTTGGCAGATGGAACAGAAGACACTATTTTGAAAGAACCTCTATATTGGCAATATCACGCGAAAGGCAAAAGCGCGAAGTATTGAAGGCGTTCTTCATGATATCAGGAATGCACGGAACATGTGTCAGTAAGCTGTCAATTGCCCTCATCGAAAAAGAAAGTTACTTAAAAAGGCAAAGAAGGCATAAATCGTAAATCAGTTGCTCATTCTTTATCTTTGTCTTTCACTTCTCTTCCCTTTGTTCTTCTTCACTTGTTGGAAGAAAAAAGTAAAAAGTTGTTTGCAGTTGTTTGTGTATGTCCCGTCGTCATCCTAGTCTCTGTGTCATTATCTGTAACCCTTTGCGGCACAGTTCAGTCAAAGCATCAAAACCTTGGTTGCAGTTGGATACTACAAAGAAGCAGTTTTAGCCACCTTAAGGTTTGCCGCAAAAGATTTTTCCAGCAGCATTCTCATTTCTTAGGACGCCCTTGAAAGCACAACTGTTTTCATTCCGATGTGATTTTCCGTGGACCGTGGGTCCTTTGGCAGAAGTCTCGCAGGTCGTCGAAGGAAACCTTTTAAAACTTGTGCCTTCAAAGTTTGTTAATTGCCGTAATCTCTGTGTCCCTTTCTGCACCTAGGATGAAGTGGGTGAGGAAGTTTGTGAAGGCGGTGTCCAAACCCAGCCGCAACGACCTGATGCCGCTGCGAGCCAAAGAAGTCTTCAAGCTGGAGGATGTGGGCACAAAGCTCTTCCAGGAAAGGTTCCGTCCTTTTCTTAAAGCGATAGCTTTACGGGCGTCACTTCGCAGATATTTCGACGTCGTCTCGTGTCGTCGCCGCTACGGGAAAAATCATTCTGTCTGCTCTTGGCGCGAGGCCAGGGAAGTCTAGTTTTCCCATCGGCCGCCCGGGCGTCCCGCCGGCAACGACGCGATGAAAGGAGAGCCTTCCGTGTCGTATGCTTCAAACAGTTGTTGCCGAACATTCCTCGCGTTATGCAAAACCCCACTTAGGCAGTATCCTGTTGCTAGGCGTAATGTTGAATGGTTTTAAAATCTTTCACTCCGCTCACCCACTTGCTTCATGGATCACTGGTGGCAGTCACCAGTGGCATCCAGAATACCAACCACGACAGCTATAAGAATTAACCACGTCGCACCTCCGTCCTCAGGTATGTGACAGCACCATTCCACCTACATAGCGCAACTGTGCAGCTGCTGTTGCTTTTGTTTTTTTGCACATTGTGGACTAAAACTAAAATTTTTTCTCTTCTTTTCTTGAAAGAGAGAATCCCAAGAGGGTCAACTTTTTAAGGGGGTAGATGGCCCTAAAATGCCCATTTTTCGGCAAAAAATGTGTTTTTCAAGTGTTGCAGTTTTAACCTCTTAACTATTAATCAGCAATGTGGCAAAATTCGGTAAACTGCCACACCGTAATTACAGAGAGAATAAACATTTTCAATGCCTCCACGGTGTTCTAAGGTGTGGCGCGCTCGCGAAAAACGCGAGGAAAGCACCATTTTTTTTATTTTCGGTACGGTACAGCTTTGTGTCCGCGAGGCCTAGCGTGGCATTCGTACCCTCGTTAGAAAGGTCATTTCTCCGACTTTTTAGTAAAATAATAAACATTTGTCGAGGATATGTGTGCATGGGGAGGAGAACCCCGTCGCAAAAACTTCTTCCATGGGAAGAATAATAGGAATTTTGACGGAACTCACCTTCCTATGAGTCGGAAAACTGAAACTAGAAACATGATTGGTTTTCAGCCATCACGTGATCTTTCACGGTGGTCACGCTTCAGACCACGTTTTATCGTCGGGTCTGCTACATCTCGCTGTATCGCTTCAATCTTTGCTATTTTTTTTCGTTCTGAAAATGTCATTGGGTGACATTTTCAGAACGCATTAGGAGCTTTAGAACGACGTTCTAAAGCTCCTAATGCGGCCCCGTCGGCGATGTCGCCTGGATCGTCGCATCTGTCACTGTCTCTAGAGGCCTTTTCTTCTACGCCACATGTTGAAAGTGGTTCAGCATCAAAGGAAGTACAGTAAAACCTCGTTAATTCAACCCCTGCTAATTCGGAAATTCGGATAATTTGAACAGCCGATCAGGTCCCGTCAAACGTATGTATTAGTCAATGGCAGCAAATGCTCATTAATTCGGAGGGAACGCGGCGCACTATGGTTAATTTGGACGAATTCGGCAGGTGGCGCTAGCAACCGTCTGTTCCAAAAGGTATGACTGCTACCCATCCGAAATGCACACGTGGTTTTTCCGGTTTTCCTATGGTTCTTCACTCTTCCGGTTCTCCGTGTTTCGCACCAGTTTTGCTCTGGATTGCCGTGCTTCAGCGCGTTACTCTCCTGGCACGGAAGCGGCAGAAGCATTGCTGCAACGGAAAAAGGGTAGCACGAGTGACCGACGACCGGAATGGCAAAATCGCGACACGCGGGGCTATTGTTCCCGAGCGTGCCAATAGCGAGAGTGACAGTCACGTTTTATGCCTCAACGCGGGGATCCTAAAGCCCGCCATTTTAACAACTATCCTATCCCTCAATTTTTCGCCGGCCACCCCCGCATTGAAAAATGCAACGTGACTGGCACTCCCGCTATCGGCGCTCGGGAAAAATAGCGCCGGGTGTCGCGATTTCGCCGCTCCGATTACTGGTCAGTTGTGCCGGTTGTGCTACAAGTTTTCCGTTGCAGCTGTACTAGGCTAAGAATTCAGCGACGAAAGTGGAAATACTGAGGGCCTTGGAGGGCGGCGTCTCTCGGCAAGTGATGGAAAGTTGCGACGTCAAGAGAAGCATTTGGCCACGTACGTAAAAATTGTGGCCGATACCCTACGGGCTTTTGAGAGCGAGAAGTTCAACGCGAAAAGAAAGCGGCCTTGGAAGGTGGTGCACCCGAAACTAGAAGAGGCCTTGCTGTGCTACATTGTCAGCGCATGGGATGCGTAGCTCCGACAGTACGAGTGCGGTGGAGCACTCGACTGCGCTAAGGAAAGGTGCCGTCTCCGCCCAAGTGTCGCCCAGAAAGCAGGCGGTAATAACAGATTTCTTCTCAAAATAAAGGTATGTCACAGGGAAACGTTTTTGCGCAGCTTTCTTTGTCCCTTCGATATTTCGACTTTCGGATAATTCGGACATTTTTGCCGGTCCCACGAGATCCGAATTAACGAAGTTTTACTGTAGGTGAGTTGATGACCTTCAAGCGGAAGATCACGCTTTTGGACTGACCTGCCGACTTGCCAAAACCAGCTGACGACGTTTGCGACGCGGCATTCTACGGGTATCGGGCATGTAACGGGCATGTAAATGTGTCTGCCGTGAAGACATTGGTGAGTGCCTTGCTGTGTCCTAGCTGCTATGAAAATGTACTGAACTTGAAGGAAAGTGGCTTTGGAGCCAATCTTCACTTCGTCGTCGTGTGCGGAGCTTGCGGGGACATCACGACGATGCGACAGTCGGAGGCCGTCGAGAGACCCAGCAGAGCGAGCTTCCCACGCGCCTTTGTGTCGTCGGAAAGGACTGCGGCATCAGCTTCACAAAGCTAAAGAACCTTTTTGGGGGCCTGAATGCTTCATCGACGATGCATCTAAGGACCTATCGGAAGACTGCAGAGAAGGTGCACAAAGCGTCCATGGCAGCAGCGCGCGACGTGATGCAGGAGGTAGCAACCGCAGTGAGAGGAGCTCAGGTGTCCAAGGATGGAGAAGATCATGTCAACAACGCAGATGACTTGCTCGACGTCTGCGTCAATTACGACGGTACTTGGTAGAAGCGCGATCACACGTCAAACTTCGGGGTTTGCGCAGTCATTGATGTGATAACCGGTTTGGTACTTGACTTCTCTGTTCACAGCAAGTACTGTCAGAGGATGCAACCTGGGCCCAAAGGAGGAGGCAGAAGGCTACCAGGTCGGGATGGAGTCTCATAAAGGTGCTTGTCAGAAGAACTCCGGAGGATTGTCAAACGCTGTGGACGTTGCGGTTGCAGGAGTCATCTTCAGCAGATCTTTGAAGCTCCACAAGCTGCAGTATGTCACCATGCTAAGTAATGGTGACAGCAAGGGGTTTACGCACGTTGCTGGTCTTGGCCTTTATGACAAGGACATCCAGAGAGAAGACTGTGTCAACCACGTGGCCAAGAGGATGTGCAGTGGCATGGAAAAGTTGAAGAAGAGCAAGAAAGGCCTTGGGGGGATGGGGTAGGGGAAGTTGACTAACATCATGATTAGAAAGCTGACAAACTATTATGCGACTGTTCTGAAAGACAACGCTCCTGACGTCACCAAAATGCAGAAAGGTGCTCTGGTTGCTGCTGGGAAACCGTCTGTGTTGTGCCCACATCGCCCAGTCTTCACGAGGGACATTGCAAAGGAGCTGGTACCCATCTACAACCGGCTATCCGATCAGAGCCTGTTTCAAAAGTGCTGCAGAATGAAGACTCGGATTACGAATGAGTCATTCAGTGCGCTCATCTGGAAGAGATGCCCCTAGACGGAATTTGCGTCGCTGAGGACAGTGGAGACCGCTGTGGCCAGGGCTGTTCTCGAATGCAACTTGGGGCCCAATGGCTTCGAGAGGACCCTCAAGACGATGGGCATGTGCCCCGGAAGCCATTACGAGGAGCGCACCAGGAAGGCAACAAAGCAGAAGATCCTGAAGGCCAAGATGAAGTCACTGGACACCTCTAAGATCGCCCAGAAACGTCACAAGCTCGAAGCACAAGCGAATCACAAATGAGCAGAAGAGGATTAAAGGAGGAGGACCAACATATGGAGCTGGAGAGTCCTAGGTCACATGAAGACACCACAGACAATTCTTTCGAGGAAAGAAGTTGAAAAAATAAAGAGAAGTGGACTTGAATTTTGTTTTCAAACGCGTTTTTATCCGTCCAGTTTTTTGGCAGCTAATTCCACCTTATTAAAACTATTGTTTCAGTATGAAACTATCGAGAGATTTAACATTTGCCGCTTATATGCCGAAATTTTATAGACCCGATTATGAGCTTAGATTTTGCATTTTCATGTTCCTTTATTATGAAAAATTGTAACATGCACAACTTTTTAAATTAAAAAAATATATCTTTTTACTTGGAAAATGCATATTTTCTGAATTTTTTTTTCATAGTAATCGGCAGCAGGTATTCCAGTAGGCATTCCACCAGAAAATTGTGTGGTTATCAACACCATCTGTCAACGATATACTCATTGAGCAAATTACATGCAAAGCTATGCTTTACTTTGTTCTGAGTGTACAGTAATACCTCAGGAAGGTGGTTCACAGGGCTGAAACTTTGCATGCCCGCCTTCTATATGGCTACAAACACCACCTGCAAATATCACGCATATTGAATGAGCGGTTCAAAAGTTGACATTCCCATGAACTGTCACCCCTCCGAAATGAATGCTACAGCGTATATTGATAGCCACGATAAAGGACGCAGTAATACGAAATTTCAGCTCTGGACATCAGTTATGAAGGAAATTATGGTAGTTCCTATCAGGGTGCATTAGCTCTCTATCCACATTCATTTGATGGGAAAGAAATATTGATTGATTGATTGATTGATGCTCAGGTGCTTTGAGTGAAGTGTGCTGTGTCTGCTGTTCATAGAACAGAACCTGCAAAAAGGCTGGAGAAAGAAAAAAAAAAATTATTGATGAATTCGTCAATGCTGGAGTACATTGTTTCCTGAATCATTATTTATTTAACGGGAAAAAGAGATTGATTGATTGACTGATTGTTGCTTGGGTGCTTTGAGTGAAGGGTGCGATGTCTGCTGCTCTTCGAACAGAATCTGCGCAAAATTGGAGAAAGGAGCCGCGCGTGCCATGCGGCTCAGCTGCCTCATGCCGCAGGAGAGCAGAGACAGGGATGTGAAGCACTTCTACCCGGCCGGACTTCTTTTCTTCAGGACTACAAAGAGTGAGTTTCATATGGCAGGGCCAACCAGCGCTAATTAAAAGAATCTGGATATCTTAAGGTTTTTTTCCCGATTTTATGTTCCGAAATCACGCCTAGGACGTCTGGAACACGTGTCCAACTGCCGTCGCTCTCACTGTGGCATCTCGGACTACGACCGCTGGAGTTTCCTCGAACCGACCGGATGTGGGGGCGGGCCACAGCAGAAATGGTGGCTTCTGTGACCATTTTTGCCGCTGGGCCAACAACAGAATCACTGCGATTCGTAGTGTCACACACTCGTGATCGAATCGATTGGACGAGACGAAGACGTGCTGAAGACACCAGTCAGAGACACACCCCATGCACTGTAGTCATGCCCTTGTGTAAGAAACGATGACGAGCATTAATTTTCTTCTAGAGAAACTAACCCCAATATATTACGTTGCATTGTCTTTGAAATAAACTCTGAGAATAGGAAACCCTAGTTATGGTACAGTCTCCCTTTGAAGCGACAGCTGTTATATCGACTTCTCAGCTGCGTTCACGGTGTTGGCATTGTGCCAGGCCAGAAGAGTCAGTTTCACACGCACGTGCACTGCCCCGCGACGTCAGGCAAAGCGCACGCACTTGGCTCTCGTCAGGTAGCAGTGCCTTCTACTTCCACAATTGGCAGGGGACGTTTCTACATGTTCCTCGCCGTGGAACTCTATTTGCGTGGGGTATTGGATGTAGAGCAACCCGCCACTCGTAATGTTGCAAGTCTCGATTTAGTCTTGGGCAGGGACGTCGACTCGTACGCAGCGTTTTTTCCTGGACATTTCGGCGACCACAAGGTTGAGTTGCGTGCGACCTGAGTAAATAAAGGGTGGGTGTTACTAGGCACAAAAACAGCTACCGCCGTCACTTCCTCCCACACCGCGACGGAAAGCTGCATATTTTTGGTCCTATGCACCCGCCGACGTTCTCCTCTTCCACAGGGCCGTGGCACGAAGAGGTCAGTCAGAGTACCAAGCGCACCTACTACTTCAACCCCGAGAGCAACCACAGCCTCTACGAGCGCCCCAAAGAGGCCGTGGCAAACTTCCGCACCTGCTTCACGACGGCCACGCTCTGGACGCTTCGGGACACGCCCGAATCTTCGGACAATGGCAAGGCGCGCCGGCAGATGCTGGTGGACTTGGTCAACAGCAAGCTGGGGCGCTGAAGCCCATCGGCGAGCTGGGGCGCCGAAGCCGTTCAGGAAGCTGGATCGCTGAAGTCAATCGGCGATCGCCACACTCGCGGACCTTGTACATTGGCACGGCGGCGTTGGCTGCGCAGATAAAGAAACACGCCGTTATCTATGATCTTCTTTCGGAGAAATGGGGTGTCCTGTCTGATTCTGGTGTTGAGGCTACACCACCTAGAACAATCGAAGCTCGTGCACTAGAACCTTAATGTAAAAGTGAGATGGAGTGCAGACACAGATTGGACACGAGTACTCTGTCGGCATTCAACTTGGCCTCATTTTAAATCGAGTGGAGAAAGACTCAATGTCAGGCTCAGTCTCAACTGCTGAGTTGGCACCATCTTAAAGTTAAATACTGTACTAGTGGGAGTACAGGACATTTGCATTAGTCAAAACGACGGCCGTGCCGAATTCCCCCTTAGTGTAGTGGTTTATTTGGCGATGCCCCTCCCCCCCCCCCCCCTTTCTCTCACCGCCAGAGCGCATTCCCAGGCAACGCCTCGAAATGCGGCGCGGTTGACGAATCGTGGATGCAAAGACGGTACCACTGCCCTTGTCACCCGTGTTACTGTGGTTCTTCATTGTCGCCTTGATGCACTCTCGGGGAGTGTTCTGTATTACCCCTAGTTAAGTATTTGCTAAAGCAATGACATTCTAACGAGGTACACTAGATGTGTTGGCATTTATTGCCTCGGTGCGTGTATCCATCTTTGGTTTGGACTAGACTGGACTAAACTGGTTTTGTGAGGTCGTGACGCGTTTTCCCGCCATGTTCTTTCGCTCTATTCATTCGCTCGTTGGGTCCACAGTGATGGAAGTGCTGCGTCATTTGCACCATGAATGAAAGTCTGCTACATCTTGTGCCAGAGTGCCATTTTTTTTTAATTGTGCCACATTTGCGCTCAGATAGGCTTAAGCAAAATGAAAAATAAAAATGTTCTATTGTTGGTCGACCTTTATATAGAGAGAAGTAGGAGGAAAGGAAAAATGATACATGTATGTATTTCACAGTGTCTACTCACCGTATAGTTTGTTTTATCTTAGGTGAGAGCACTTCCTAAGGTTCAAATAAATACCACTACAAATACACATACTAAAACCGCAACTTGTGGGACATTCAGTGCACTTGATTGGTTTAGTTGATGAAAAAACACTCACAAGAAAATGGACGAATGCCATGATGTCTCGCTTTGAAGTCTAAATTTCCAGACGATTTAGGGGGGTTGGTCTGGTGAAGGCGAGCGGGTTGAACATGAATACATAAAATATAAAGAATAAAACACAGAGGACAAGCACAGAAAGTGGTTGTCCTGTGCTTGTCCTCTGTGTTTTATTCTTTCAATTTTATGTGTTAGGGGGGTTGCTGGTCTTTAATTTTTTATTTTTCATTTATCGTGATGAAATTTAGTATACTGATGTATGTCTCAGTGGTGATTTCAAATATGCAATTAGTTTTCAGATAGCTTTACTAAATTATATATAAATTTTTAATTTTAATTAGGTCCTTACGGGTCGTAAGCGTCAAATTCTTCAGAAAATGTCAGAAATTTTTATAGAATTGCATTCACCATGACATGTTTTGTGCGGTGATGCCCATAAGGAGGACCTAATTGAAATGATATATTTATTGATAACTCAGGATCTAGTAAAGCTAGCTGAAAACTAATTGCATATTTGAAATTATCACTAAGAAATACATCAGTATATTAAATTTCAGCACAATAAATGCAAAAATAAAAAAAAAGTTAAAGACGAGCATTTCCTCTTAGGCAATGTCAGGAGCTAAAAGTCGTGAGGAAACATAGCAAAATAGTTGGATGGCGACTACTGTGATAAGGGGGAACCAGGGTCTTGTACTCGTGATTAATTTGTCTGCCATATGCCTCTGTACCGCCTCTCACGAGTATGCCTGCGCATTGAGCTTCACCGCTTTGCACCGGAGTGGTAGGGGCAGCGGCTGACATGGGCGAGCACCTGAAACGCAACACGCAGCACTTTGGCATTCCAAAGAAGCTTTTATCGCGCCGAAAGACCGGCGAGACTTGCGTTCAACGAGTTCTGCCTTTTTCCTGAGGTGCTGCGCTTTTGTAAACATTTGCACGTGTTCTCAATGGCAATTATCAGCGTTTACACAAGGTTTTAAGAAACTTCTTCGGTGAATGACGGCGAACGAGTAGAAAACGGGCTTAAGCGCGCTGCCGCCCAGCCTCTGCATCGCTCCAAAAAGTCGATTTCGGTACGTGCAAAATGGCCGTTCGGTGGCCGCACTTGCGGAACGCGGAATCTCGATCCAGCTATTGTCTGAAAGCAGACAGACAACCCTAGTGCTACTAAATAAGCTCATTTAGTGACTCTAAACAACCCTACAATCTTTGAGATCATTCAAAACACACACAACAAAGTAGCAGTGTCAATAGAAGTTTATTTCTCATAGAATGACGCAAGTAGAATTTCAAGTCTGCTTTACTTGTAACTTGAGGCAAGCAACTAGAGAAACAATCAGACCAAATGGCAACTTTTGCTGAAAGCATCATTTTAGGTGCTGTCGACTGTCGGTAATTTCAAAGTCAGTTTATTTGAATCTTTGATCAGTGCGAAGGAAGGGTGCGTTCCCGGCAATCATGCATGCATGTCCATGAAAAATGCTATTGCGGCAAAGCGTCGAGATAGATGCGATCACAGAGCCGCCGTTTCTGGCGCCGCGGCAACTCCGCTACCATAACTCCGGGAAGCGTATTGGGATTCCTCACAAAGTAAAGCCATGGGGCAAATGTAGGGCTTCTGATTGGCCTTTCTTTGGGCACCTCACAAACACGCGTCCTTCAACAGCTTGACAGGCGGCGGCTGCTGCTTTTCTGACTCTACAAGTTTCCCTATTTTACGCAGTAAAAAGCAGAGAGGGCTGGGGGTTTAGGCTTGGGTAAACAGCCGCCAGCGTTTCATGCATTCCTCGCAGGGGGCACCTGTGTTAGCAGATGTTTGGCGAGCAGCGTGCTGCATCACCACGGATCTCGAGCCATGTGGGTTCACCCACCGAAGCCTGGCCGTACGTTCATGTCCAGTAGTGTGATTGCTGCGCCAAACAGCGCCAAAATGTGAGGAATTTGTGCCAACATTATGCCAAAACTTATTTCACGTTTATTAATACTGAATATATAATAAATCAGGCTCCGCTAAAACGGCCGGTCGCTACGGTATACGCTTTTGTGAATTTCCAAAACTTTCAAGTATCTCCTCAAAAACAAGTTAAAAAAATTGTAGAAGAGAAGGTTTGTCGTAGCTGTTCTCTTTTTGTTTAAAGAGGTACCCAGTGAGTTTTTGAGCTACCTCAACTATCACCTGCCTTTACACTTTCCGGTATGCTATTTAGCAATAATAATCCCTGGAGAAGGGGAACAAAGTTGACAAGGGACAAACACAATCTCCAAACCTAAAAGCAAATCCGCCTGGTCCGGTTATCGAACCCGGCCGGGACCTCTCCATTTCCAGTGCAGCGCTCTACCAACTGAGCTAACCAGCTAACCCGGGCAAAAAAAAAAAACAACTAAAAACTAAAAAAAATATCACCTCCGCTTCTTCCCCCCGGGCAAGGGAGTCGCCAATTTTCCTCTGGTCAAATCTTGTCGGCATTAACCCAGCATTGGACCCATTGGTGGACAAGTTTGAGACTTTGGGCTGGAGCCACGCAGGAGGGAGCCCCAATTTTCCTCTGACCCGCCTGTCCCCAGCTGTGCTAGTTGTGCATCATTCAATTTTCCCTAGATAATTTCCACCAATTCTCTAATCGCCTCTTTGTCACTGTAATGCTTTTCTCTTCCGTCCGTTTATCGTCACCAGTAGGATCAAAGGCTTCGACCAAATCCGTTACCCCTTCAGGGAGAGCAGGGCGAAGCCCTATGCACTTCAAAACTAAGGGATCTAGTGTCTCGCTCTCATTATAGCAGGCATCACGTAATGTGTCTGTCTCCTGAAATTTAGCCCTATATATACGTCCTCGTCCTCAAAACTCCCGTTCTCGCCTCAGACACTAAAGAACTTCCCAGTGCATTGTCAAACACATTTTCTTTTCTTATGTCCTGTACATTGTTGGAGCTGATTTTTCCTGCATTCTTACCTCTCACGTCTTCCTTCCGGCCTCTTTCACCCCCTTTTCCAGTGAAGTAGTTTGCTCAGCCCCATCACTAGTGTATAGGTACTTAAATGTGAGCTTTCGGGTTCGGTTTGTCCATTTTGTGTTTAAACTTTTCATGTATAAATACTTGAATACCTTCCGTGTCTACCGCGTAGCATCCATTTCGGTCAACCCTTGTTCAAATTTCAAGTTACTAATTGCCTTTCTGTTCTCCAACGACGACCAGCCCGTGCCCCCCTGTACTCCCTCATTTGGTGTCTTTCAGTGTGCTCCCAGTGCCAATCTGCCTACACTTCTTTGCAGGCGCGTAGCCAAGGGGGAGGCCCGCCACCCCCCCCCCCCCCCGAAATCTTCCATTTTTCTGGGACCTCCTCTCCCCCCTCCCCCTCATACAGCATTTTGTCATGGGCGCCCCCCCCTCCCCCCCAAAAACAAAATTCTGGCTACGTGCCTGCTTCTTTTACTAATTTCTAATCATGATTTAACGTCTGATTTCATGCACAGTACCCCCATTGCCAAAATACAGTCCTGGTACCATCACTCCTTTCCATATAGCTCTGATCACAATTCATACATATTTTATGATCCATAGTGCCTTGAGCTTCATAATAGATGAATTTCTTTTCTTTTTTCTAGTTATATTCTCCTCATGTTCCTCTAGATATTTCCTTCCCTCATGGAGCCAGACTCCCAGATATTTGTATTTTCCTACATGGTCTATTACAATGTCTTGTATACTCAGGGGTTCCTTCTTTTCGTCGTAAACACAATTACTCCAGACTTGTCACAACTTAAACTCATGCCCAAGGTGTCCCCTTCTTCTCCACATATTCCAGCGAGTTCCTGTAACGTATCCTGGTTATCTGCCATAAGTACTATGTCGTTCGTATACATCAGTCCTGGTATTACCTGTACTACATTTCTCCCTCCTTCCATATAACTCACATAAAAACCTAGGTTGCTCTGCTCTATTCTCTTTTCCATTTCACCGAGGTATATCATGAAGAGCAGAAGTGACAGTGGACAGCCCTGCCTGAGCCCTCTTTTTCTTATTGCTGCGGGTTGTGTAGTTTGTTTCCCATATTATAACTAACTTATTGTCTCTGTACACCTGCTGAAGAAACCTAACCAAGTTTGTGTTTAAGTTATACTCCTTCAACTGACCCCAGAGTTTTTTCTGGCTCACATTCTCGTACGCTTCCTTGATGTCCAAAAAAGCTACCCATAAAGGAGTTTGGTTCTTCATTGATATTTCACACATTGTGTGGCGACGAATAAGTTGTCTTTCAGTCTTCTATCTCTCCGCAATCCGTTTTGGAGCCTAGCCCGTATATGCATATCTTCTGCCCATTCCTCCATTCACCGCTTTACTACCCGCATAGCTAATTTGTATATAATTTAAATTACCGTTATCGGGTGATATGCCTTAAAGGGATGCAACAAAAATTCAGCGCTTCTTGTTTTGTCGATACCTGTTCAAAGGAGCACATCGCATCGGACGCACCAATATCTCGATAAAAAAAGACACAAAAAGGAATTTTAAAACGAATTAAACAATTAGCAAAGAGCACCTGGTGGATGTCCCTAAAGCCTCGTTAGTCATGCCCGTCTAGGAACCTTGACAAGTAGTGACGGTAACTGTCTCGCCTAGAACTAAACATGATTTGAACCTGACGTCATCCCGACAGCCCTACGGCCAGCACAAGAGAAGAGGGGCGGGAGGAACTCCCCGTTCAGCGAGACTCTTTCTTGTGTCCCAGACGTCACCATTCCCCCCCCCCCCCCCCCCCCCACACACACTCACACACACACAAGATTATAGAAGATTAACCCGTCACTCAAAAAGGCTCGAGGTACACCATGTAATGCGTAGGTTCTTTTAAAGTTTTGGATTGACAGGATGGCGCTGGATTTTAAAACATAACGTGTTCTTTTATTGTTCTAATGGCGCCCGGCTGGCTCTGCGACGAGTTGCCAGTAGGGCTAACGCAACATAGGTGGCGCTACCTTTCATTACATATATAATACTAAGCACTTCTTATGAGTTGTGAATGCGAAAGCATGCATGCCGTTCTTCGGCTTCCTTATTTCGTCTGCGGCGTACTTGCGTCAACGGCCGAACGCGCGCTCTCCTCGCCGCGCTGACCTTGGGCGTGGAGCCGCTGCCTCGCGGACACGCAGCACCATGGGGTGGCGGTCGTTGAAACTGACGCACAGCAGCCAATGGGAGCCTCGTTCCTTGAAACTGTGGCCGTTTGGGGCGGCTTCAAAGCTGATGACGTCGGCTCGCTCTATGGGACAGTTAATGCTTTCGCATTAAAATTCGTACAAAAGCAACTTTGGGGTTAGTTGTGGTGGCCCGCCCGATCACTGGCGTGCTTCGGTCGCTTCGGTGGCTGGAACGGCTAGAACATCCTGTTGACATCAGCCTCGCCGCAGCTTTGCTCGTCCCGAGACAATCTACGTCACGATTGCGGTGTACGTCACGTGCTTTCCTCTGGCTACTCTCCGAGCGCCAATGGACTGTTTCCAAAACCGACGCGCCCCAATGCGGCGAAATACCACGCAGTGCACTCTGGGAACTAGTTGGCCACTCAGTTTCGGTTTCGACTGAGCAGATTCATCTCATGCTATTACGCCGCGACCGAACGCGCTGCTTGCGTTTTCGATTATCTGACTTTTTTCCGAATGTACAATACACTCATTCTCGAGCGATACAAAACGAAGGCCGGGGCACTTTCCTTGGTTCCCGAAACACCGGATATTATGAGTGAGTATGCAAACGTAGTAAGACGTGGCTTAGTCACCTCATCTTTGAGTTCATTTTCGATAATCCCGTCTAGTACCAGTGAACTAGAAGTGAAATTTGGTCACCTGGAGCATTACACGTATTTTGTTTCTCAAACGTCCGCTTCTTGTTACTTCATTGGGCGAAAAGCAAGCCGCATCCTCACAGGGGTATCGAAGTTGAGCCCAGCGTTGACGCATGAACTTTTAAGGAGACGCAATAAATTCGACCTCACTACTGCACAAAAGTTACTATGATGTCGTCCTCGTGTCATCATATATCCCCGAGTCACATTTTATGCTGATAGAAGATTAAGTTTTCGCAAACGCTGAGCCTCGGCTAGCTACGACGGAGGCCCTAACAAGCGTCCCCTACTCCTCGCTAAGCCTTTTTGGACGAGCTTTTACTGACGCCGAAGATCTGTGCCTGAACGGTGTGTCTGAAATTATCTCGGCATACTCAGGCAGGCAGAACGCAAACACATAACACATATTATGGCCATTAGCAACCGTCAAATGCGCTTTGAATAATTTCGTTTGTTTGGGGCACCGCATAGGGGTTCATGCCCGTCCGGCGTACTTCTGGCGGATGGTGCGACATTTTTCACACAAGTGCTCGACTTTTGCTTTCTTAAAACGGTTTGTATGCGCGAATGTGCCTATACGATTGCGTGATAACTTTACGCGCATACGCGATGTTGAATACTTGTAAAATGCAAATGGGTGGGGAAAGCTTTCTTTTCGTGCGGTGCTGCGGGTCAGTACAGATAAGAGAAAAGAAGTGTGTTATAATTCAATGGTACCCTCCGAGTTTTACCACGCGTACACAGGCGTATTAAGAAAATCGATAATTGCAAAAGGTTATATTTCGTCTGTGGACGCACGAAACAAACTTTCTGATCAACAACACCAAATGTAAAGGCGCGAGCTCGATGTATGCATACTTTTGGCGTCTACAGCTTGTTGATTCGTACACAAGCAAGATCCCCGAGCTTCGCAGCGTCGAGATTCCCAGCACTGGCTCGTCCACATACCTCGAAACGCTAACAGAAAGGCTCAAGTACAAAAATACAACAAGCATATCTTAAGACAAGCTATACGTCTCGGGCTTGTGCTAAAGCTTCGAGGTCTGACCATTTTAGGTTAGTTTAGAGACCTCCAATGACGCTCTCGGGGCCAGAAAACATGAGATAACGGCCGTTAATAGTCCATGCTCTGTGTGTAATCTCTTGTCGACGTGTCGATCGAAACCGAAACCATGGCACTCTCCTCCCAGGCCAACTAGTTCCCAGAGTGCAACGCGCGCCGTGTTGCATGCAGGGCTTTATGGAAGTAGTCTATTGCCAGAGCGGGCTGTTTATGACAGATACGGCCATCAGGCTCGAAATGACAAACGTGCGATTGTCATTTACGTCTATTGTGGATCATATTCAGCCCCGTTTCTGAACACGGCGGGTATATTTCAAATTTCGTTTAAGTATCCCTTTAGTGTTGTCTTTGTTTCCTTGGCCTCTATATATTAGTCTCATTTTACTTAGTTTCTAATCATCGGTGCATTTTCTTCCATAATTATTTGATTAATCACATGTCTTAACTTAAATTTTCT